GCTATGCTGTGTAACAGCTTGTACTGAATGACACCTTTCCCCCAAACGTTTTTCAACGTTCTTGATCAGACTTTGAGGTACGTTTGGTAGCTGTGGTGGGGTGTGGCTTGAAGAAATGAGTGAAGTTTTTTCGTAATGAACACAGCCCTGGGTTCAAATACATGTGTATTTGAGTATTTGTTATTTCAGTACTTTTTTCTGTCTTTAAGTATTTTAATGGTTATTTGTAAAAACCAACTACTCGACCAAATTGGTTTTGAAAGTATTTTCAAATACTTATTTGAAATACTATTTTCTAACACTTTCCAATATTCTGTTCAAATATTTTGTATTGAACACACACAAGAATGGTGTATAGTTATGAAAGACACGTGTACAGTTCTGATCTAAACATAAGAGAACAGACATGAACAACAAGACCCAGAGTTCTGGACACAAAACAAATATTACAAAACACGACATACAGAACAGGGACAGGTAGAAAGAAAAAGGGTAGATGTAAATCCCCTATGGTACTTATCCCCAACTCTCCCCATCGCTCTAAGGTGTTATCAAGGTTAGAGGGGGCAAAGGAGGGATTCCTGGCAACAGGGAGCATGAATGATATTGGTCTAAGCTCAAAGTGGACTTTAATTTGCTTCCAGATTCGGACTGTGCTATGTATAATAGGATTGTTACGGTAAAGTGACATCTCCAGATTGACAGGTGACAAAATCACAGCACCAATAGAGAAGGGGTGACACTCCTCACGCTCCATACTAAGCCAGCTGGATGGCGGGGGTGCGTCATCCAGCAAAAACGTAACAGCGCGGAGGTTAGCGGCCCAATAGTAAAATATACAATTTGGGAGAGACAATCCTCCTTCCATCTTGGATTTACATAGGTGTTTTTTTACCTATCCTGTGTGTTTTATAATCCCAGATGAAAGGATTGATAATAGAGTCCAGTTGTTTATGAAAGGATTTCGGTATGAATACTGGGATGTTCTGGTATAGGTAGAGCAGTTGTGGGAGGAAGACCATTTTAATGGCATTAATTCTTCCGAGCAGAGAAATTGGGAGAGTTCTCCAAAATTGTATGTTTGCCTTGAGATTTTGCATCAGAGAGGGGAAACTATCTTTAAATAGTAAGGAGTATTGTTTGGTAACTACAATTCCAAGGTAGATACATTTTTCTGAAGATAACTTAACTGGAAGATGTTCTAGCCAGGAGGTGTTTTGCAACCGTATGGGCATTAATTCACTCTTGTTCCAATTTATTCTGTATCCCGAGAAGGTACCAAACAAATTAATCACCTCAAGAATAGATGGAATACTAGCTTGGGGTTCTGTTACATAGAGGAGAATATCATCTGCGTATAGGGAAATCTTATTTAGAGTATCTTTAGTATTATAGCCGTGTATTGCTGAATGAGATCTGATCGCTTGAGCGAGAGGTTCAATAATTAGGGCGAAGAGCATAGGCGACAGCGCACAACCCTGCCTCGTCCCTCTGTGAAGGTTAAATCGGGGCGACAGTGATTGGTTAGTGAGTATTCTCGCACAGGGGTTCCTATGTAAAAGCTGGATCCAATTTATGAACCCATCTCCAATATGTGGTCCTCTGTAGCTCAGCTGGTAGAGCACGACGCTTGTAACGCCAAGGTAGTGGGTTCGATCCCCGGGACCACCCATACACAAAAATGTATGCATGCACGACTGTAAGTCGCTTTGGATAAAAGCGTCTGCTAAATGGCATATTATTATTATTATTATTACATTTCTGTAGGACCTTGAATAGATAGGGCCACTCAACTTGGTCAAAGGCCTTTTCGGCGTCAAGAGATATAACGGCAAGGTCCACGTTAGGTAACCTCTGAGAATACATAATGTTGAAGAGGCGCCTGAGATTGAAGAATGAGTTTCTGTTAGGGATAAAGCCGGTCTGGTACGAATGGACCAATTTGCCAATTAAAGTGCTAAGCCTGTTAGCCAGAGTTTTTGCTAAAATCCTTTGGTCTGTATTAAGGAGGGATATTGGTCTGTATGACCCTACCTCTTCCGGATCTTTACCCTTCTTATGTATAATAACACTTTCCAATATTCAAGTACTTGTTTTTTTCAAATAAAGGTTATCTGAATACTTATTTTGAATTGTATTGAAAAGTAATTGCAATACCTGAAATAGTATTTGAACCCAGGGGTGTATTCATTCCTCTGATTCTGTTGGGGCGGCAGGTAGCCTAGTGGTTAGGAGCGTTGGGCCAGTAACCGAAAACATTGTTGGTTCAAGTCCCTGAGCTGACTTGGAGAAAAATCTGTCGATGTGCTCTTGAGCAAGGCACTTAACCCCAATTGGTCCAGGGTTGCTGTCAATAATTGCTGATCTCTGGCCATGAACCCACACTCTCAGGGGGAGTTGGGATATGCAAAAAAAAATACATTTTAATCTCCCACTTGTACATGCATTGAAACAGGACAAATATAAGCACCCAAAAATGTTTCTTAAACGGAAGCAAATTAAATGGCAAGGGACTTACAGTGCTATGAAAAAGTATTTGCCCCCTTTCTAATTTTCTCTACTTTTGCATATTTGTGATACTGAATGTTATCAGATCTTCAACCAAAACCTAATATTAGATAAAGGGAACATAAGTGAACAAATAACACAACAATTACATATTTATTTCATTTATTTCATAAACAAAGTTATGCAACACCCAATTCCCCTGTGTGAAAAAGTAATTGCCCCCTTACACTCAATAACTGGTTGTGCCACCTTTAGCTGCAATGACTCCAACCAAATGCTTCCTGTAGTTGTTGATCAGTCTCTCACGTCGCTGTGGAGGAATTTTGACCCACTCTTCCATGCAGAACTGCTTTAACTCAGTGACGTGTGGGTTTTCAAGCATGAACTGCTCGTTTCAAGTCCTGCCACAACATCTCAATTGGGATTAGGTCTGGACTTTGACTAGGCCATTCCAAAACTTCCAATTTGTTGCTTTTTAGCAATTTTCATGTAGACTTAATTGTGTGTTTTGGATCATTGTCTTGCTGCATGACCCAGCTGCGCTTCAGCTTCAGCTCACAGACGGATGGTCTGACATTCTCCTGTAGAATTCTCTGATACAGAGCAGAATTCATGGTTCCTTCTATTAAGGCAAGTCGTCCAGGTCCTGAGGCAGCAAAGCGTCCCCAAACCATCACACCACCACCACCATGCTTGACCTTTGGTATGATGTTCTTACTGTTTTCGCCAGGCATTATTGGAACCATGTCTGCAATTACTTTTTCACACAGGGGAATTGGGTGTTGCATAACTTTGTTTATGAAATAAATGAAATAAATATGTAATTGTTGTGTTATTTGTCCACTTATGTTCCCTTTATCTAATATTAGGTTTTGGTTGAAGATCTGATAACATTCAGTATCACAAATATGCAAAAGTAGAGAAAATTAGAAAGGGGACAAATACTTTTTCATAGCACTGTACCTGAATTTGTCCAATAGAAACTCTCGTTTAACTGTTTGGACTAATGATTACACTCCAGGTCTGCTACTCAGTGACTAGGAAAGGAAAGGGGGATACCTAGTCAGTTGTACAACTGAAAGTGTTCAACTGAAATGTGTCTTCCGCATTTAACCCAACCACTCTGAATCAGAGAGGTGCGGAGGGCTGCCTTAATCGACATCCACTATTTGATCTTATTCACAACCAATGGTTCATACAGTATCATATGTATACATCTTTTTGGTTGCTGCCTCCCTTCATTTTGGCTGCACAGAGATTGAGAAATCTTGTCAGTACAGTTGGCACACTGGTACACTGGTAAGAATGGTTCATACAGTATCATATATATACATATGTGGACAAAACATTAGGAACACCTTTTGCCCTAAGAATAGCCTCAATTCGTCAGGGCATGGACTATACAAGGTGTGGAAAGCATTCCACAGGGATACTGGCCAATGTAGACTCCAATGCTTCCAACAGTTGTGTCAAGTTGGCTGGATGTCCTTTGGGTGGTGGACCATTCTTGGATACACACATGAAACTGTTGAGCGTGAAAAACCCAGCAGTGTTGCAGTTCTTGACACACTCAAACCGGTGTGCCTGGCACCTACTATCATACCCCGTTCAAAATCATCTAAATTAATATATTCCAAAATAATTAAATATTTATTGATATTTATATAAATAAAATAAAACATCTCTTCAGTTTCAAGTTTTAAGTTTTATTGTCACATGCACAAGTACAGTGAAAATCTCCTCTTCATCTCGCCATAATGGATATATGTTGGATACCAAAGAAAATGTTTAATTGGCTCCAACAATGTTTGCTGAGTTGGTTGTCACTACTGCCTCTTCTAAAATGTATCTCTGCTTCAATGTATGTATCACAGCAACATTTTTATGCAATTATTTTAATCCATTCTCATCTTTTCCGCCGGGTTTTTCAGAACGTACGCCCATTGAAAAATCAGGTGTGTCTTGGGGTAAGGCCCGCCCCGTTTTACCTTACATGGCATTGTATGGGAATTTGATTGACAGCAGGCAGCAGCTGCTGAACAGCCCAGATATGGCGCAGGATACAGTATAACTGGAGAAGAGCGAGAGAGTTACGGTAGTTTTCCTAGCAGTTGAGTTGGTATAGTGCATTATATAAATGACTGGAAATAGCTCATATTTTAGGGCAGGGTTTCGTCGGAATAACGCAAAAATGGACGAAGTTGCCAAACGTAAGTAAGCTGGGAAAATGTATCGCTGTTTAGTGCAGTCAACAGCCAAAGGTAACAATTATGGCTTCTTGTGCCTTTTCCTATTTGTGATAAAAAACTGCTCGCCCATGCCATTAGATGTCATGGCTGTTCTGCTGAATTCATACAAGTGACAATTAGGAAGTTAGTTCCTTGTTCGCTTATCGGGCAGGGGGGTCATTTTGGAGAAATTAAGCCGAGGATACGTTAACTAACCAGTCTGCTAACGTTAGCTAGTTAGCTACCGAACTAAAGCGAACTGCAATGGAGCCAAAGCACAAAGAGTTGTTAGACCAATGGCACCAAAACTTGCTGGACTCAATAACAGACGCAGACCGGTTGATTGAGTTGCTGATACTCTCCGGTACTCTGAGCCAGCTCGACCGCTTCGAACTGGACCAAAACTGCTCTTCCTGCGCGGAGAAAGTGGACCACCTATTGAAGATGCTTGTGAACAAGGAAAGCGACCATTTCCTCGAACTGTGTGTGGCCTTGGAGAAGACGTACCCTGAGCTGTATTCTGCACTCTTTAGTAACGGCGGTGGACCGGTTGACCATTCGTCTGGTAAGCTACCATGCACGCATGCAACACTTTTGCACATCAAAACGTAGGACGCATTCTTGCTTCATTCCTCCACACAACATTAGAGATGTTGAAGTGCTACTATACCCAAAGTCTCGCAGTGCACTTACAGGGTGGTCCCCCGTGCAATACTTCTAAAAGCTAGTCTACATAGCAAGATAAGGCTGTTTCTTTCCAACCCTCTGCACATGATCCCTATGGATCATTGACTAGCTAAGTCATTCTCATATGTTTATTAGTAGAGCATGTTGACATTAGGGGTGTTGATATGCAGCATTCAAAGCCATAATACCAGAACTCCAGGTCCTTGTGTGGCCCTAGTGGTTTATTTCAGGATGGAACTTTTTTTAAGGTGAAAATTGCTGTGGAATGAACAATGTGATGCTGAAACAGAATCGAACTTTGGTAACATTTTAGGTTGTTACTAAAGTTCCATTCTGTTTCAGCATCACATTGTTCATTCCACAGCAATATTTTGCCTTCAAAAAAACCAAATGATCACCAGCAGAGGCATAGAGACCACGGGCTCTATAACCAGACTCTTATCACTATTTATTATAGTGCGTGTGGACTCTGCTACTGTGTGGCTAGGCAGTAGATGCTAAATGAACACACTTGCCATTCCTCCTTTTGAATGAGAAGCATGCGCTATGCACTTTCCAAACATATCCAGGTCACAACATATTTTCATTACAGTTGCAATGCACATATCCTGTAGTAAAATCATGGAGTAGCCTGCATAGTGGGTCAATTCTACAATGTATAGGATACAGATTATACTATGTATATGATACAGATGGGGCTATTTCACTGTATGTAGGTACAATTTTTTCCATCAAACTATAATGAACAGAAATATATACGCAACAATTTCTGAGTTACAGTTCATATAAGGAAATCCGTCAATTAAAATAAATAAATTAGTCCCTAATCTATGGATTTCACATGACTGGGAATACAGATATGCATCTGTTGGTCACAGATACCTTAAAAAAAAAAAGTAGGGGCATGGATCAGAAAACCAGTCAGTATCTGGTGTGACCACCATTTGCCTCATGCAGCGCGACACATCTCCTTCGCATAGAGTTGATCAGGCTGTTGATTGTTGCCTGTGGAATGTTGTCCAACTCCTCTGCAATGACTGTACGAAGTTTCTGGATATTGGTGGGAACAGGAACACGTTGTCGTTCACTTCGATCCAGAGCATCCAAAACATGCTCAATGGGTGACATGTCTGGTGAGTATGCAGGCCATGAAAAACTAGGACATTTTTAGCATCCAGGAATTGTGTACAGATCCTTACGACATGGGGCCGTGCATTATTATGTTGAAACATGAGGTGATGGCGGTGGATGAATGGCAAGACAATGGGCCTCAGGACCTCGTCACGGTATCTAAATGCATTCAAATTGCCATGGATAAAATGCAGTTGTGTTCGTTGTCTGTAGCTTATGCCTGCCCATACTATAACCCCACCGCCACCATGGGGCACTTGTTCACAACGTTGACATCAGCAAACCGCTCGCCCACACGATGCCATACACGTGGTCTGCGGTTGTGAGGCCAGTTGGATTTACTGGGAAATTCTCTAAAATTACATTGGAGGCGGCTTATGGTAAAGATATGAACATTAAATTATCTTGCAACAGCTCTGGTGGACATTCTTGATGTCAGCATGCTGATTGCACGCTCCCTCAACTTGATACATCTGTGGCATTGTATTGTGTGACAACTGCACATTTTAGTGTCCTTTTATTGTCCCCAGCACACGGTGCACCTGTGTAATGAGCATGCTGTTTAATCAGCTTCTTGATATGCCACACCTGTCAGGTGGATGGATTATCTTGGCAAAGGAGAAATGCTCACTAACAGGGATGTAAACACATTTGTGGCCAAAATCTGAGAGAAATAAGCTTTTTGTGAGTATGGAACGTTTCTGGGATCTTTTATTTCAGCTCATGAAACATAGGATGAACACTTTACATGTTGCGTTTATATTTTTGTTCAGTGTAATTCAATTGTCCTTTTTACTTGAAGTTTATTAGGGGAAATGAAATGCAGTAGCCTATTCTGTGTAGGGTTAGATGACAATTTCCCAAGTTGTCATCAATGGTTTGCAATACTAATATCATCTAATTTACGTTCGAAGACAAGTTCTTCCTGGCTCTTATATTATACGCTCACAGATAGCCTGACTTGTTTCCATGGAAACGCTCTCGCGGCTGATGTGCCCTTTCATATCGACCCTAGCGTGGCATGCATGCGTATAACCATGCTTATAAATCAGTAACAGGGCGCCAGTCATATTCTCTATTTTCCATTGTACAGTAGTATGCATATAAGCTAGTACTATACCCCCAGTTATTGTCCTACAAGACCAGGGGTCCCCAATTACATTCAGCCGTGGGCTGTTTTTTAATTTTGTATTGGTGAACCCTTTACTAGACCATTTTAAAATGTTGCATCTGAATGACACATTCATTCAGCCTGTATGTACTTTCTCAAAATAAAGGCTGAAACCAACCGTTCCCAGGCAGTTTAAAGGTGGACTACAGTTGACTCCTGATAAGTGCACATCATATGTATGCATTAGGGATGATCTTTCCCTTTCAAGACGATGCATATCTAGATACGTACAGGAACGATACGATTTGGTTTGATTAGAGATTGAATCGATTCGATGCACTAACATTTGTTGCATTAACGCATACATTTTCCATTCTAAATTATAATCTGCTTCTGATGGAGCTCATGAATGAGCTGGTTCTCTAAATGATGTATGTCTATGGTATATACTATGTAGGCATCTGATCTGAGGTATAATGGAGACTAGGCATCTACCACCCCACTATCAGAATTGTTTTTTTTTTTGGGGGGGGGGGGGGGGGGGCAAAGCAGTTTATGTTTTTTGGCCCCCCACTTTGGTATTGAATTTGCCATCACACACGAATTAACTTGTTTATCGTTTGCAAATTAGCTATGACATAGCCAATGAATATATACAGTGCCTTCGGAAAGTATTCAGACCCCTTTGACTTTGTCCACATTTTGTTAGGTTGCAGCCTTATTCTAAAATTGATTAAATTGTTTTCAATCTACACACAATACCCCATAATGACAAAGCAAAAACACGATTTTAGAAATGTTTGCTAATTTATAAAAAATAGGAAAATGAAATATAATAATTACATAAGTATTCAGACCTTTTACTCAGTACTTTGTTGAAACACCTTTGCCAGCGATTACAGCCTTGAGTCTTCTTGGGTATGACGCTACAAGCATGGCACACCTGTATTTGGGGAGTTTCTCCCATTCTTCTCTGCAGATCCTCTCAAGCTCTGTCAGGTTGGATAGGGAGCGTCGCTGCACAGCTATTTTCAGGTCTCTCCAGAGATGTTAGATCGGGTTCAATTCCGGGCTGTGGCTGGGCCACTCAAGGACATTCAGAGACTTGTCCCGAAGCCACTCCTGCGTTGTCTTGTCTGTGTGCTTAGGGTGGTTGTCCTGTTCGAAGGTAAACCTTCTACCCAGTCTGAGGTCCTGAGTGCTCTGGAGCAGCTTTTCATTAAGGATCTCTGTACTTTGCTCCGTTCATCTTTCCCTCGATCCTGACTAGTCTCCCAGTCCCTGCTGCTGAAAAACATCCCCACAGCATGATGCTGCCACCACCATGCTTCACTGTAGGGATGGTGCCAGGTTTCCTCCAGACGTGACGCTTGGCATTCAGGCCAAAGAGTTCAATCTTGGTTTCATTATACCAGAGAATCTTGTTTCTCATGGTCAGGGTCCTTTAGGTGCCTTTTGGCAAACTCCAAGCGGGCTGTCATGTGCCTTTTACTGAGGAGTGGCTTCCGTCTGGCCACTCTACCATAAAGGCCTGATTAGTGGAGTGCTGCAGAGATGGATGTCCTTCTGGAAGGTTCTCCCATCTCCACAAAGGAACTCTAGAGCTCTGTCAGTGTTCTTGGTCACTTCCCTGACCAAGGCCATTCACCCTCGATTGCTCAGTTTGGCCGGGCGGCCAGCTCCAGGAAGAGTCTTGGTGGTTCCAACCTTCTTCCATTCAAGAATGATGGAGGCCACTGTGTTCTTGGGGACCTTCAATGCTGCTGAATGTTTTTGGTACCCTTCTCCAGATCTTTGCCTAGACACAATCCTGTCTCGGAGCTCTACGGACAATTCCTTCGACCTCATGGCTTGGTTTTTGCTCTGACATGCACTGTCAACTGTGGGACCTTTATATAGACAGATGTGTGCCTTTCCAAATCATGTCCAATCAAGTTGTAGAAACATCTCAACGATGATCAATGGAAACAGGATGCACCTGAGCTCAATTTCGAGTATCATAGCGACGGGCCCTGATATATATTTCTATTTTTTGTTTTTAATAAATGTGCAACAATGTCTAAACCTGTTTTTGCTTTGTCATTATGGTGTATTGTGTGTAGATTGTTGAGGTAATTGTTTTATTTAATCCATTTTAGAATAAGGCTGTAACGTAACAAAATGTGGAAAAAGTCAAGTTGTCTGAATACTTTCCAAAGGCGCTGTAGCACAACTTTGGAGAGAGAAAGACTTTCATTATGTTGAGGCGCTAACACAAGTCTTCAGGTCCCACGCAAGTTCAAATAAAATGCAATTTTATTTGTCACATGCTTTGTAAACAACAGATGTAAACTAACAGTGAAATGCTTACTTATGGGCAGAGAAAAATAAACCATCTTTTAAACTTGCAACCTTGGTGTTTTAATGCTGTAGATGAGAGGCGCTGCAGCAGGGCTGTATGTATGTAACCTTGACTGTGTCCCACAATGCCCCCTATTCCCTTATGGAGTGCACTACTTTTGACCAGAGCCCTATGGGCCCTAGTCAGTAGTTCACGAAATTGAGGATATGGTGTAGGCCGTCATTGTAAATAAGAATTTGTTCTTAACTGACTTGCCTAGTTAAAAAAGGTTCAATATTATTTATTTTTAAATGGTCCCATGTAGTACGCAGCCCTAGTGAGTCCATGGTGGTTATTCACCAGAGCATTAGCTCTACTCTGCCTGCCTGTTGTAATGTGTCTCTGTGAGACGTGTATCATCATGCCTCCACTGCCCTCTCCTCTGTATTAACTCCTCTGCTGCCTCAGCACAGAGAGAGGGAGGCAGCTGTAGTCAAGGTAATCAGAGGGATTTTTGAATGCTTTTCAAGTGCAGCGATTCAGGCTGATGCGATTACAGCGTTTAACCAGGCTGCCTGGCTGCTGAGAGAGCGGAGTCGAGCCTCCTAGTTGCTCCAGGCAGAGAAAGAGAGGGAGCGTAGAGATGAAAGACTTAGCTCCTGTGTGTGTGTGATCTGCGCTGATAGCAACCTGCTCTCAAGCCGTCCTCTCATACTGATATACTCTCCTTTCCTCGCTGGCAGACTCCTCCCTTCACTGAGACACACAGTGCATGCATCATACACTGTACAAACACACACAAGACACACCCCTCTAACTTAAAGGCGGACCCACGCTTGCACGCACGTAGACAGTGACGGTAGTGGAGGAGGAGCGGGTCTTTGGTTCTCCTTCTCCAACCCTCCTAATATGGCTGCTGTAGGAAACATGGAGAAATGTACCTTCATTTCATGCACCATTAGCATAATTGAATCTCAGATTATGAAAAGCTTTATTAAAGGTTCAAATCCAGGGATATGCCACATCATTGCGCAAAACGCAGGGCCCTAATGCCACGTTTGTTTTATGTGAATTCTTTCAATGGGATATTAAATCTATCAATCCGTCAAACTACCAATATGAGAATTGTGTTTTATATTTAGTCAATGTGAGATTATATAGCCTAAGTAGATCACCAGTATCTTTGCCTTGTATAACAAACCATGCTATAGCATTTCAAGCTGATTTCATTCATACACATTTAGTGCAATAGGCCTAATCAAAACCAATTTCATGCCTCCTAGTCCTCTGCAGTGCTTTTAGACTTCTCCTAGTCCTCTGCAGTGCTTTTAGACTCCTCCTAGTCCTCTGCAGTGCTTTTAGACTTCTCCTAGTCCTCTGCAGTGCTTTTAGACTTCTCCTAGTCCTCTGCAGTGCTTTAAGAGACTTCTCCTAGTCCTCTGCAGTGCTTTTAGACTTATCCTAGTCCTATGCAGTGCTTTTAGACTTATCCTAGTCCTCTGCAGTGCTTTGTAAGAGACTTCTCCTAGTCCTCTGCAGTGCTTTGTAAGAGACTTCTCCTAGTCCTCTGCAATGCTTTGTTAAGAGACTTCTCCTAGTCCTCTGCAGTGCTTTGTTAAGAGACTTCTCCTAGTCCTCTGCAGTGCTTTGTAAGAGACTTCTCCTAGTCCTCTGCAGTGCTTTGTTAAGAGACTTCTCCTAGTCCTCTGCAGTGCTTTGTAAGAGACTTCTCCTAGTCCTCTGCAGTGCTTTGGTGTTTCACCTATAGAGTAGTTATACCTGTATAGGCCTCTTGCTCTCTCCACTGACTGACTGACTGACTGTGACGTTGATTTAAACACACACAAAGAGGAGGGCGTGATGCAATGCTCCCTGACAGGATGCTGTGTCTGTGTCCACACATCTCCTGCTCTCTCTGTGTGTGTATATAGAAGATGGACCATTGCCTCTGGGCGACTGTGCTACACCTCAACTCGGCTCAGGTGTGTGCTGTGTACTCTGAAAACACCTGTTTTTACAACTGCTGATCTGTGGTGAGGTGAGAGCCCGTCATTAAGAGAAGACCTCTCTTTCTCTCCCCGTTTCTCTCTTTCTATGCCCTTATCTCTCTTTTTTTTGTCTCTTCCTCAGACTTAGCTTCTGTTTTTTAAGTGTAGCAGGCCCAAAGTGCCCAATCAGCAGCTTGCTGTTCTCTGTGTGTGTGTGTACGGACTAGGACAGGACCAGTGGGTCTGTCTGTCTGTCTGCCTGCCTGTCGACCCGTGTCTCACTCCCGGCAGCACATAAACCATGGGGACGCAATGAGTTATGTCCTGACACTGTGCCACTACTACCAACCAATGCTCTTATCTCTCTCCTGGGATCTGACTACTGTAGCGCCTAGCTACAATCGCTCTGTTTCTCTATCTTTCCTCTCCCCCTTTCTCTCCCTGCATGTCTCTAGATTAGGCCATCAATCCATCCATCGTACACCCAGCCTGTCTGCTGGATATGAAGTCATTTCCTAGGCCTTCCGTTATACTACATGTCACTGGGCAGTTTGTCTATTGTACTACCGTGGTGTATCCACTCTAGCATAACGGGTTACAACTAGGGGTTGGAAGTTGGGATCCTTAACGTTAAGAAAAATCCAGAACCGAAAAACGATTTTTCATAATTAAAATCACAGTGCATTATCACAAAACCATATTTTCCGTGTTATAGCCTAACTAGATTATATGGCTATAAAGGCCTGGGGAATCTAAATAAAGCCAGAGGCAAACTTTAGACTACTTTGGTGAATTTGCGAGGCATGAAAGATAATTAAGACATTGCGAGATGCAGATTACCAAGACGTATGCGCACGGTTCTGCCTGCCTCCTCTCTTTCTCCCTCGCCCTGGCCTGCCTGCCCCTCATCTCTCTCCCTCCCTCGCCCTGGCCTGCCTGCCCCTCATCTCTCTCCCTCCCTCGCCCTGGCCTGCCTGCCCCTCATCTCTCTCCCTCCCTCGCCCTGGCCTGCCTGCCCCTCATCTCTCTCCCTCCCTCGCCCTGGCCTGCCTGCCCCTCATCTCTCTCCCTCCCTCGCCCTGGCCTGCCTGCCCCTCATCTCTCTCCCTCCCTCGCCCTGGCCTGCCTGCCCCTCATCTCTCTCCCTCCCTCGCCCTGGCCTGCCTGCCCCTCATCTCTCTCCCTCCCTCGCCCTGGCCTGCCTGCCCCTCATCTCTCTCCCTCCCTCGCCCTGGCCTGCCTGCCCCTCCTCTCAATTCAATTTAAGGGCTTTATTGGCATGGGAAACGTATGTTAACATTGCCAAAGCAAGTGAAGTAGATAGTAAACAGTAAATATTAACAGTAACATTCCACTCAGAAAAGTTCCAAAAGAATAAAGACATTTCAAATGTCATATTATGTGCAAATATTTAAAGTACAAAAGGGAAAATAAATAGCTCAGTTGGTAGAGCATGGCGCTTGCAATGCCAGGGTTGTGGGTTCGATTCCCACGGGGGGCAGTATGAAAAATGTATGCACTCACTAACTGTTAAGTCGCTCTGGATAAGAGTGTCTAAATGACTAAAATGTAAAATATTTACAGTGGTGTTTGTTGTAATCAAATTTTATTTGCCACATGCGCCGAATACAACAGGTGTAGACATTAAAGTGAAATGCTTACTTACAAGCCCATAACCAACAATGCAGTTCTTCACTGGTTGCCCTTTACTTGTGGAAACAGGTCACTAATCTTGCTGCTGTGATTGCACACTGTGGTATCTCACTCAATAGATAATGGAGTTTACCAAAATTGGATTTGTTTTTGAATTCTTTGTGGGTCTTTGTAATCTGAGGGAAATATGTCTAATATGGTCATACATTTGGCAGGAGGTTAGGAAGTGCAGCTCAGTTTCCACCTTGGCGGCCTTTCTCAATAGTAAGCAATGGCCTCTCTCTCCCTCGCGCTGGCCTGCCTGCCCCTCTCTCTCTTCCTTGCGCTGGCCTGCCTGCCCCTCTCTCTCCCTCGCGCTGGCCTGCCTGCCCCTCTCTCTCTCTCCCTTGCGCTGGCCTGCCTGCCCCTCTCTCTCTCTCCCTTGCGCTGGCCTGCCTGCCCCTCTCTCTCTCTCCCTCGCGCTGGCCTGCCTGCCCCTCTCTCTCTCTCTCGCTCCCTCGCGCTGGCCTGCCTGCCCCTCTCTCTCTCTCGCTCCCTCGCGCTGGCCTGCCTGCCCCTCTCTCTCTCTCCCTCGCGCTGGCCTGCCTGCCCCTCTCTCTCTCTCCCTCGCGCTGGCCTGCCTGCCCCTCTCTCTCTCTCCCTTGCGCTGGCCTGCCTGCCCCTCTCTCTCTCTCCCTCGCGCTGGCCTGCCTACTCTTTCTTTTTATCAATGAAGGGGCCAGTCTTAAGAGCACGGGGTAGGCTACTCTTAGTTGCAGACTGGGTAGGGGTGTTTTTGTCTCATGAAATGAAATTACAGTAGGCTACCGGTATAGCCTGTATCGATTACCCTTTTCAGATATAATGGTATGTGCCCCCTTGAAAGCACCTCGGCTACGGCATGTTTGTTTTTCTGTTAGGGTAGGCTACACTACAGCTTTTTAAACACCGATGCAAAACCTTCTCTGTAGACATGAACGGCATTTTACTTGTCTGTAAAATAATGCCACTTCTGAAGCGGAACAAACTTCCATCACTAAGTGACCAGAACTGTCAATCCTAGCCTGCCTGCTGCCTGCGTGCAGACCACTCTTTCCTTTGTTAAATATCATGACTTACTAAGACATTTAGTAGAAAGAAAGCACATCTAGCTACCCTACTATTAGAAATCTGCATAAACAAAACAGCAGGACATCAATCAGCAACTTTAATTGTTGTCAGGGAAACAATAGAACATTGTATGCCGGAGCAAAATTATACTGTCAGAAAAGGTACAGACACTTCTGAAAAGCGTCTGTACCTTATCCACATGTTGGGCCTCCCATGTGGCGCAGCGGTCTAAGGCACTGCAGTGCTTGAGGCGTTACTACAGATCGGGGTTCGATCGCGACCGGGAGACCCATGAGGCGACGCACAATTTGCCCAGCGTCGTCTGGGTTAGTGGAGGGTTTGGCCGGCCGGGATGTCCTTGTCCCATCGCGCTCTAACAACTCCTTGTGGGGGCCGGGCGCATGCACGCTGACTTCGGTCGCCTACGGTGTTTCCTCCGACACATTGGTGCGGCTTGCTTCCGGGTAAAGCGAGCAGAGTGTCAAGAAGCAGTGTGGCTAGTCAGGGTCGTGTTTTGGAGGACGCATGGCTCTCGACCTTCTCCTCTCCCGAGTCCGTACGGGAGTTGCAGCGATGGGACAAGACTGTAACTACCCATTGGATACCACGAAATCGGTACATGTTACTATACTTTGTTCTGTCTGTAAAGTGTAGATATAACTTAATTGCCCGGCCCTAGCGGTCATATGTAATTGGATTATTGTTCTGCATTGTGAATTATGATTTTTTTCCCTTATCGTTTTCATAGAAAACAATTTCTTTTTTTTGGTATATATTTCTTAATGGCTCTTTTAAAAGCTAATATTTTTTCCCCATTTGTCACATCCCAAGTTACAACTAAAATTGGTAAAGATTGCTCTATTTTGTCAGAAAAATGTTTTATATAGATTATAGGAAATTACTAGACTTGTAGCAGGAACGATCATTGCTGGAGGTGTTGTGACTGCCTGTCAAGGCGTCAGTGTAATGCGGTAGGACGAAGTCAGGCGCAGGACACAGAGCTAATTGAAAAACGTACTTTACTCGTAGGTATCTTAAAGAACAAACCTCCACGCAGGGAGGAACACACCCGCTCACATACGACAACCAAAACATGGACAAACACGCACAACACACAGTGTGAGCCAGAGGGTGAATTAGGGAAGACATAATTACATGATGGGAAACAGGTGAGACCAATACAGACAAAACAAGTAGAACATAGAAACATGGATCGGTAGCAGCTAGTACTCCGGTGACGACGAACGCCGAAGCCTGCCCGAGCAAGGAGGAGGGGCAGCCTCGGCTGAATTCGTGACACAGCCCACTTATGTTGGCCATCTGATTAAGGCCACAAGATTGACCTGTGTTTTAACCGGGTCAGTGGTGCCATCGTCCCAATTGAACTAAATTGATCTCTGTTAGATCATTTAAAGGTGTGAACTGAATGCCTTGCCCCTTTGTTTTCAATGCAGTGGGCTGATGTAAATGTTGACTTGGAAGTGGTGAGAGAGGTGGTCTCTCCTCTCCTTGATCTGAATGCTGTGTGTGTGTGTGTGTGTGTGCATGGTTTGTGTTGTGACTGTGCCAGAAGGCAGAGCAGCATTAAGAACAGGGCTTCATGACCGTTTACACGTGTTGTTGCTGTGCTTCCTAATCACCCTGTGAGGCAGAGGAAATGCCACGGTCTAAATGCTCTGTGTGGTGAGGTCATGGTAATAAACAGACAGAGCTACTCTCCTCTACCCCTTTCTCTCTCTCCCCCTCTCTCTCTCTCCCCCTCTCCTCTCATCTCATGTGCTTTATTGGCATGGGAAACGTGTGTTAACATTGCCAAAGCAAGTGAAGTAAACAAAAGTGAAATTAACAATAAATATTAGCAGTAAACATTACACTCAGAAGTTTCAAAAGAATAAATACATTTCAAATGTCATATTATGACTATATACAGTGTTGTAATGATGTGCAAATAGTTAAAGTACAAAAGGGAAAATAAATAAAGATAAATATTACAAACATGTAATGGTGTTTGTTCTTCACTGGTTGCCCTTTTCTTGTGGCAACAGGTCACAAATCTTGCAGCTGTCTGTACATAGTCAAAGCTTTCCTTCATTTTGGGTCAGTCACAGTGGTCAGATATTCTGCCACTGTGTACTCTCTGTTTAGGGCCAAATAGCATTCTAGTTAGCGCTGTTTTTTTGTTTTGTCAATTCTTTCCAATGTGTCAAGTAAATCTCTTTTTGTTTTCTCATGATTTGGTTGGGTCTAATTGTGTTGTTGTTGTTGTCCTGGGGCTCTGTGGGGTCTGTTTGTGTTTGTGAACAGAGCCCCAGGACCAGCTTACTTAGGGGACTCTTCTCCAAGTTCATCTCTCTGTAGGTGATGGCTTTGTTATGGAAGGTTTGGGAATCGCTTCCTTTTAAGTGGTTATAGAATTTAACGGCTCTTTTCTGGATTTTGATAATTAGCGGGTATTGGCCTAATTCTGCTCTGCATGCATTATTTGGTGTTTTTCATTGTACACAAAGGATATTTTTGCAGATTGGAGAAATGAGTCCCTTGTCAAAAGCCAAGGGTGACGTAATCAGCAGGACTGCGGCCCCAGAGGACCCGAGCAATGCACTTCTGCTATAGAGATTTTATGAGCTGCTAGCATAGTTTGTTTTTTCAACATTAACAGTGGACGTCAACCCATGGCACCAGCTTGCTGCTCAGAAAGTACTTTTCTCACTTACACTGACTTCTAGTATTCTTCAGGGTTAAAGCACCACTAGCTCGACTGATAATAGGCTGTGTGTTCGCTGTAATGCAAGTAGGGGCATTACTGGACAAGCTAGACTGTTGCTGTTCAGCATTTCTGATGGAGCTTATTGTCTGGGGTGAAGGCCAAGTGCCTATCTTTCTGCTAGAGGATCGGAGCGCAGCTCATCTCATTGCGTCTCAATATTCAAACTCTTTACCCCAGCCAAGTCCCAGATCTAGAAATGTAAATCTATACTTGGTCATTTTTATGCTAAATGCCAGCGACCATAATAGTTGGCAATACAGCACTTGAGAGATCTAGAACCAGGCTAACTTTAGCCAGCCTCGACTCCTTCAGTGCTCAAAAGATCTGAAATGACTGGATAGGTATAAGCTAGATATTGATCATGGCACTGTGTTGTTGTAAACCTCTGGTAAGTTACAGTGCCTTCGGAAAGTATTCAGACCCCTTGACTTTTTCCATATTTTCTTACGTTACAGCCTTATTCTAAAATGGATTATATAAATAAAAATGTGCAATCGACACACAATACCCCATAATGACAAAGCGAAAACAGGTTTTTAGAAATGTTTGCACATTTATTTAAAATAAACTACATTATTTACGTAAGTATTCAGACCCTTTGCTATGATACTCGGAATTGAGCTCAGGTCATTGATCATCCTTGAGATGTTTCTACTAATTGATTGGAGTCCACCTGTGGTAACTTCAATTGATTAGACATTATTTGGAAAGGCAAACACCTGTCTATATAAGGTCCCACAGTTGATAGTGCATGTCAGAGCAAAAACCTAGCCATGTCTAAGGAATTGTCCGTAGAGCTCCGAGACAGGATTGTGTCGAGGCACAGATCAGGGGAAGGGTACCAAAAAATGTCTGCAGCATTGAAGATCCCCAAGAACACAGTAGGCCTCCATCATTCTTACATAGAATAAGTTTGGAACCACCAAGACTCTTCCTGGAGCTGGCCGCCCGGCCAAACTGAGCAATCGGGGGAGAGGGGCCTTGGTCAGGGAGGTGACCAAGAACCTGATGGTCACTCTGATAGAGCTCCAGAGTTCCTCTGTGGAGATGGGAGAACCTTCCAGAAGGACAACCATCTCTGCAGCACTCCACCAATCAAGCCTTTATGCCAGATGGAAGCCACTCCTCAGTAAAAGGCACATGACAGCCCGCTTGGAGTTTGCTAAAAGGCACCTAAAGACTCTCAGACCATGAGAAACAAGATTCTCTGGTCTGATGAAACCAAGATTGAACTCTTTGGCCTGAATGCCAAGCGTCACGTCTGGAGGAAACCTGGAACCATCCCTACGGTGAAGCATGGTGGTGGCAGCATCATGCTGTGGGGATGTTTTTCAGCGGCAGGGACTGGGAGACTAGTCATGATCGAGGCAAAGATGAACGGAGCAAAGTACAGAGAGATCCTTGACGAAAACCTGCTCCAGAGCATTCAGGACCGCAGACTGGGTTAAGGTTCACCTTCCAACAACCCTGAGCACACAGCCAAGACAACGCAGTAGTGGCTTTGGGACAAGTCTCTGAATGTCCTTGAGTGGCCCAGCCGGAGCCCAGACTTGAACCCTATCGAACATCTCTGGAGAGACCTGACAATAACTGTGCAGCGACGCTCCCCATCCAACCTGATAGATCTTGAGAGAATCTGCAGAGAAGAATGGGAGAAACTCCCCAAATACAGGTGTGCCAAGATTGTAGTGTCATACCCAAGAAGACTCAATGCTGTGATCGCTGCCAAAGGTGCTTCAACACAGTACTGAGTAAAGGGTCAGAATACTTATGTACATTTTTATAAATTAGCAAAAATGTCTAAACCTGTTTTTGCTTTGTCATTATGTGGTGTTGTGTGTAGATTGATGAGGGGGAAAAAACGATTTAATCAATTTTAGAATAAGGCTGTAACGTAACAAAGTGGAAAAAGTCAAGGGGTCTGAATACTTTCCGACAGCACTGTATATAGAGGTTCCTCCACGTTAGTCTTTTCAGATATTTGAATAATGAACGAAGTGGGACTAGGCGAACAACCACACCACTTCTGTTTGTCATTTAGGATGATGTTTTATTCTAAAGCTGTTAGGCTACATTCCACTGATATTCAGGACACGACTGCTCTGTGATGATGTTTAGTTTGAATTTCAGTCCTTCTGAGGTCTCAGATTTGTTTGAAACTCTGTTGTTATTGGCCAAGTTCAGGATGTACCATCCCGTTTTCCTTGTACTGACCACGACCCTGCAGACTCTTCTGGTCATGTGACCCATTGCCATGCATGGCCTTCTTGTGAGAGACAGGCCCCCTGAAATAGTCCTTCCAGGCCCAGCCAAACAGCAGTGGCTTTCTCTATCTCACAGACACACACTCACACAGACAGTCTGTTCCTGAATTCAGACACAAAGTGAGTGGAGCTGATGGTGGTTAATTAAGCAATAAGGCCCGAGGGGGTGCAGCAGTAAGGGCTCGAACCACCCAGTTTATAATACAGAATATCAGATGGAGTATTGTTTTGGTAATGTAACAATAATAACCTTCCTTCCCTTGAACTTTTGTTCTTCTTCTCTCGTCCTCAGGAAGAGAATGCCTTGCATCAGATCATTAGTTTCTGGGTTGTCGAGATCTTAAGATAGAAAGTGTTCGAAATAGTAGAATCCAATTCCTCAGGTAATCACATATACACATACTAAGATTTTGGGGTAGTTGGTGCATTTCTAAATGAGAATTATCTGGATGGCTTCATACATTATTTAGTCACAGTTGACAGCGGCACCGGACTCTGATAAGGATGAGGGGAACACGCTCTGTCGTTCCTCGCCAATCTTCCTATTCTACCCTTTTCTTATTTTTGCCACATTGCAGAATTTAGTATTCCTCCACTTCATGGAAAGATAATCTGGTCGTATGGAGCAAAAACTCTTGGCCCTGGGGGGAGAGGAGTGATGAGTGGGAGACATGGAGGGAGTCGGGGAGAGGAGATGGGCCTTTGTTCTAGTATCCCTGTCTAGCTCAGGTCTCACAGTACTGTATCCTACTGGATGTTTAAATACGCTGGATTTTCCATGGCTGTGTTCACGATCACAACACGTCTTCCTAAAGTGTGCTTTGCTCACTCACCTTCAGTGAAAAAGCATTGGATGTTGTTGAGAGAAAGTGAACGAGTGCACACTTTGGGTTGCGTTCTGATTCCCCACACTTCTTCCTAAAGTGTCCACTTACTCACTGCCCCCTCACGGCAAGTGCACACTTCAGGATAGAAGGGTAGAGAATTGGACTGTCTGCAGCCTAAGTGCCGACCACTAGATATTTTACATCTCTAATACATGCACTATTTATTGATGCGGTCAGCTTGTTCACAAATGATCAGCCCAGCTGAATGAGGCTAAGGTCTAATTGCTATTGATGATAAAGGGCCTGTTTTAAGAGGTCTATCGCTGCCGACTCTTCCAACACCGGATGGCCTGCTACCATTCAATATTCTACTGCATTCATTGGCCTGCTTCGAGAGGCTTACAGTGTAGACTATGTCGCCACTATTCAGTCTTCTCAATTTCATAAATTTCTAGCCTATAGGCTAGGCCTACTTTTTCTCAATTTCCATACTGTGTCTTCTAACTTACTGTGTCTTTATCTTTGAATTAAAGTCAGGATCTAACAGGCAAGCCGCCAGTATATAAAATCTGTAGTGAGCAGTGATGATGAGTATTACATTATTACAAGTGATTTGGTCTACGCAATGTGGCATGACATGCTGGTCCGAGAGGGGACTGATTACTTAGAATCAATTAATTTTTGTGTTCTGGGGCTGTTCTGTTCAAATCACACATCTCCCAGACCTGTTCTTGTATTAGTAAAAATGTTTGTCTAGCAAAAAAGCCTTAGACTTCCATGTAAGAAGATGACTTATCCCCTAGCTGAGCAGCAAGAGTTCCAGTGTAACATAAAAAAGTAGTAGCTTAGTCTTCCAGATCTGACACAATAAACATTTTTAAAAGTGTAGCCTACTACCTTTTAAATGTATCTGGGAAAATGAGTTAAAAGTGTGTAAGAACCACCTGGCTTCAGTGTGCAGCAGACTGGTAGAAGTGTACTAGGCTCTGCGCGGTTCTCATGTCAGCTGTAACAATGTGAAATCCTCTGAATATGTTCCCCAGTGGAGAGCAGTGAGCACAGGGCTTCAGGGAGTGTCAGAACAGACTCTTCTACCTTCATTTCATTTCTAATCTCTCGCTCCACCCCCAGCTAATGAGGTTAGGCCTTGTCTGTTCTGCAGGCTTGGTGTTGTAAGGGCTTATGCCGACACAGCAGATTTGGGATAATGGGATTTGATCGATGCCCTCTTGATGTTATTACTCCCTTTCTGAGATTTTTCTGCCATTGAAATCCTTAGTTTTTTTTTCGGGTCACCTAAATCCAAATTGTACAAAAACGCTTTTGTTAACTTAAACAACTTAAACCAGATATAAAGAATGTAGAGAAGATAATGGACCTATATATTTTTAGATGTCGTGCAAAAGAGAATATAACATTGCGGATAAAGTTCTGAATGACACAATTTCATGTGTACAACATCTAAAGACGTGCATCACTATACTAAGAGCTTTGCCGTTTCTTAAAGGATGTTGGGGGTGTTTTTGGCCTTTTTGTATATGTTTTTTTGAGGGCCCCATACTACACAATGAGGATGAGGAGTGATTTGCTGTTTGGGGTAAGTTTCTTTAAAACGTGAAATCACAAAGGTGTCTGGACCCTTCTATAACATGCCGTTTACATAGAGATTTGGTTGTAAAAAAAAAAAGATGACTTCTCCTTTAATTGCAGTCTTATGCCTGCTTGAAGTTCGACAGAGACACATCTCAGTTGATCACAATATACCCATTAGGCTATATATATATATAACCAGCTATTGTATATCAGTTTGGCTTCTTAACACTCAGAGGAGCACTAAACGTTATGTGGATATTTTGTCCTATGTCAAACCTAACTGATTCTTAAAGATGACAACACCAAGGGCTGCTAATTCATTTTGTACTGAAGTAAAAATCCTGAAGTGGAACACTGAGAATGACGACGTTCTAAGAACTCACTCTACACTCAGCAAAGGGTTAAACCCATGACATGTTCACGTGGCCCCTTAGAAAAGACGGTCAGTCTGTTGCGTTGCTGCAGCTAGAGCCGTGATGTCCATCAGCATGACCTTCTATAGCCCCCCCCCCCCCCTATGGATTCCTCTACATGAAAATGTAGCCTAGTGGTTAAGAGCGTTAGGCCAGTAACCGAAAGGTCGCTGGTTCGAATCCCTGAGCCGACTAGGTGAAAAATCTGTCTGTGCCCTTGAGCAAGGCACTTAACCCTAATTGCTGCTGTAAATCACTCTGGATAAGAGCGTCTGCTAAATGACTAAAATATCAAAGAATCTCCCTGGGCTTAAAGGCGTCAACATGCTTCAGTTCAGCTAGGCGAACCAAGCGAGTGTGCTCACATACACAAAAGACCTTTGCTTGAAAAACAAGAACAAAGCGGTAATAGTACTGTTTGTCCATTTTGAGATGCCGTAGCCAGTATACACTTCCTCAAAATAGTCAGAATGAATCTAAGATAACTCAAGAAATCGGTCATTAGTTTTGACTTTTTGCCAAGGAGCTCTTACGCTTTGAACACGCCAACTGTTCCATTGCGCAAAATAGTATGCAGCATTACATTTACATCATTTAGCAGACGCTCTTATCCAGAGCGACTTACAAATTGGTGCATTCAACTTATGATAGCCAGTGGGACAACCACCTTTTTCTTTTTATGGGGGGTGGGGGAAGAAGGATTACTTTATACTATTCCAGGTATTCCTTAAAGAGGTAGGGTTTCAAGTGTCTCCGGAAGGTGGTCAGTGACTCCACTGTCCTGGCGTCGTGGGGGAGCTTGTTCCACCATTGGGGTGCCAGAGCAGCGAATAGCTTTGACTGGGCTGAGAGGGAACTGTGCTTCCGTAGAGGTAGGGGAGCTAGCAGGCCAGAGGTGGATGAACGTAGTGCCCTCGATTGGGTGTAGGGTCTGATCAGAGCCTGAAGGTAAGGAGGTGCCGTTCCCCTCACAGCTCCGTAGGCAAGCACCATGGTCTTGTAGTAGATGCAGCATCATCTAGATATGTGTGCAACAAAAGTTCAACATTCACCTTCTGCTACCATTTCTGTCAACCTGTTGATGCATACAGTTTGACGCATACGTTCGATAAATCCAACGTATGCACCACACAGAACGCACTGCAACTGCCTCTGCAACGCAATGCTGCAAGGCAAACTCAGCGTTCCATTGGAAATGAATGTACTTCTGGTGTACCAAAATGCAATGACGCAGTCGGTGTGTTCGAAGCGTTAGTCGCTCAATTTTAAATCTAACAAAGATGTTTGGTGCAGTATTTTTCAATGAAACAATGTGCATGAAAACGAGTCGTCTCTCGTTGAATGACAACAGACTTTTATTGAAGGATCCCTACTGTTAACCAATCACAGACGAAGGGGCGTAGACTTCGGCTACCAACTTCGGCTTGCATCGAGAAAATGTTGTGTGCCTGAACTTCCGAAAAAACGCTTACCGAAGTCCGAAACGAACAAAAACATCACAAAATGTCGTCTCAATATATGCATGAACTCTCCCGAACTGTTTCGGCTGGGAAGCATGCAGACACCTTTAGCAGTGTGCAGCACTATGCAAGTAGGGCATCATTGTCCTGAGTGCCGTCTCCATGTGCTGCTTGACTTCACATTCTAACCGTGACACTCTGCTTGACTAGCAGGGACATACAGGAAATATACATAAAAGCATTATACTAGGTGCATGGAGAGGGGACATGAATGAAGATTAGTTCAAATCATAAATGTACAGGAGGAAAGATTTATTTGTCCATTTATTTCATGCCTATTTGTATTGGGTTATGTAGCTAACATTTACAGTATTAATTCATTGATTGACGAACCTAACCTATCGTTTCAAGAATGACTTCAAGGGAAAACACGTATTATTTCGGGATGATGTCCTTTTTGACTGATTACTAACGTTGTCTCTTCTCCCCCTCATCACGGTCTCTGCAGGCTCTACGTACAGTGTTCTCTCCACCATGCCCTCAGACTCTGAGAGTAGCAGCTCCCTAAGCAGTGTTGGTAAGTATGGGGCCTAGGACACTTTCTCTCTGTGTGTGTGTGTTTTTAGTTTACCATGCTACCTCCTTAACATGCACACTCACTTACTCACTTTTGCAGCCAGAGCTTGACAGGGGTTCAAATGACTCAGCGCATCACTGGGTGTTACGTAAACCCTTAAGGGCCCAACCTGGTTCCAAGGATGACACATAATCCTCTGAGTTCCAGCCTGCTTGGCTCTGCCTGCCTGCCTGTCGGTCTGTCTCTTGGCCTGGCCCGCTCCTTCTGTTTCTGTTCTGGGAAGAGATGGAGGGAGGGAGGTAGAGAGAGATGGGTCTGTCTGTCTGTCGGCCTCCCTGCCAGGCCTGCTTCTGTTCTGGGAAGAGATGGATGGAGGGAGGGAGGGAGGTAGAGAGAGATGGGTCTGTCTGTCTGTAGGCCTCCCTGCCAGGCCTGCTTCTTTTCTGGGATGAGTGGGAAAGAGAACAAAAAAAAGAGCGAAAGAGAGGGTGAAAGGAGGTAGAGAAAGAGGGGTCTGCTGTGAAAGGCGGGGAGTAGGCTTAGGGCTGTGGCGGTCTTGAAATTTTGTCAGCCGGTGATTGTCAAGCAAATAACTGCCCGTCTCATTGTAATTGACCGGTAATGAACATAAACACATTTAGGATCTCCTGGCTTCCAAGCATAGCCTAAAAGCCACTGATGCAGACCTTTGGAACATCTACATTTTAAAAAGTCTAATAAATCTGTTTAATATAGCCTACACCATAACAATAAATCCATTATTTATTTTAGACTGGTCTAAAGAAACATGATATGAAGAAAATGTGGTCTGTTTCAGAAGAACAGAATAGCATACTCTGAGTTGTCCATATGTTAGGCTCTGATCTGGCTATGCCAAATGGCTGTGGGCTACACTAGTTCATTTAGCAGACAAGATTTGCTTAGAATTTCATGCCATTATTTCATATTATTTTGTAGTATGAAGAATACAATTGAACAAAGCTGAATAAAATAGAAAGGATATTTTCTCCAAATGATTTCCGAGGGAGTGCTCACATGCGGCTATTCTGTGTTGAGCGGTTAACAAAGAAACATGTCCTCTTATATGCTTAATTTAGGGTTATTTATGCAACTTTAGATGTGATGCAAACGTTGGGCTATGTGTTTTGATTTTTAATACATTCTAAGGCTGCATGATGCAACTAATGATTTGAAAAAAGTTGCATGAAAGGTATGAGCTCTGATGTTTCTTGTGCCAGTGGCTAGATGTGCCAAGCTTATAGAGACATACCCCAAGAGACTTGCAGCTGTAATTGCTGCAAAAGGTGGCTCTACAAAGTATTGACTTTGGGTGGGGGGGGGGCATGTTGTGTAAATCAAATGATTCAAACCCCCCCCCAAAAAAATCCATTTTAATTCCAGGTTGTAAGGCAACAAAAAAGGAAAAATGCCAAGGGGGGTGAATACTTTCGCAAGCCACTGTAGCTTTGTTTCTTGTGCAGGCTGCACACACTTCATCAGTCTCTCATTCAGAATGTGACAAGCATAATATTCTCAACAGGCCTCGAATTTCCCACCGGCAACCTCCTTGTGTGGCCGTAATGCCCCCTAAAAGATCAATGCCTTTTTTTGGCGTTGTGCCCTTGGGCTGAATATAATAATTATAATTCCCTTCTCCCAACTGCCGTGCTCCGAATCCCCTCTCACTCACATGGCTCTCTCAGATATCTCAATTCTTATTAACCAATACCCGTTACGTGATCGGTTCCTTCTCACAGGCATCTCAACTAGAAGTAGGCTACAAGTGAAGACAGACACATCGGGGACGCAACTGCGCGCGTCCCTCTTATTAAATTCTGAGGTGCATATTGAAGATGTTAGAAGAACTGTCCACATTTCGCCTACTTTTCATCAGCCAACAAGATGAGTAGGCCTAATGAACAGCAAAAGCACTAGCCTATGTCAATCTACTATCCCCCATAGTACAAAGGTTGACCTATTCTATTGGTTAACCTTTCCTTCTGTGTGAGAAATAAATATTCCAAACATACTCTGGGACAGTTGTGGGATGCGATAGATCCTAAATTAATACAACCACTAGCATCAAACATTTGAAAAGCAATGAGGCTGATGCAACAGATCAGAACGTTTTATTTTATTTTTTATTTTATTTTTATTTCACCTTTATTTAACCAGGTAAGCCAGTTGAGAACAGGTTCTCATTTACAACTGCGACCTGGCCAAGATAAAGCAAAGTAGTGCAATAAAAACAACACAGAGTTACATATGGGGTAAAAAAACATAAAGTCAGAAATACAACAGAAAATATATATACAGTGTGTGCAAATGTAGCAAGTTATGGAGGTAAGGCAATAAATAGGCTATAGTGCAGAATAATTACAATAGTATTAACACTGGAATGCTAGATGTGCAAGAGATGATGTGCAAATAGAGATACTGGGGTGCAAAATAGCAAAATAAATAACAATATAGGGATGAGGTAGTTGGGTGGGCTAATTTCAGATGGGCTGTGTACAGGTGCAGTGATCGGTAAGGTGCTCTGACAACTGATGCTTAAAGTTATTGAGGGAGATAAGAGTCTCCAGCTTCAGAGATTTTTGCAATTCGTTCCAGTCATTGGCAGCAGAGAACTGGAAGGAATGGCGGCCAAAGGAGGTGTTGGCTTTGGGAATGACCAGTGAGATATACCTGCTGGAGCGCAGACTACGGGTGGGTGCTACTATGGTGACCAATGAGCTAAGATAAGGCGGGGATTTGCCTAGCAGTGATTTATAGATGGCCTGGAGCCAGTGGGTTTGACGACGAACATGTAGTGAGGACCAGCCAACAAGAGCGTACAGGTCACAGTGGTGGGTAGTGTATGGGGCTTTGGAGACAAAACGGATGGCACTGTGATAGACTACATCCAATTTGCTGAGTAGAGTGTTGGAGGCTATTTTGTAAATGACATCGCCGAAGTCAAGGATCGGTAGGATAGTCAGTTTTACGAGGGCATGTTTGGCAGCATGAGTGAAGGAGGCTTTGTTGCGAAATAGGAAGCCGATTCTAGATTTAACTTTGGATTGGAGATTCTTTATGTGAGTCTGGAAGTTGAGTTTACAGTCTAACCAGACACCTAGATATTTGTAGTTGTCCACATACTCTAGGTCAGACCCGTCGAGAGTGGTGATTCTAGTCGGGTGGGCGGGTGCTAGCAGCGTTCGATTGAAAAGCATGCATTTAGTTTTACTAGTGTTTAAGAGCAGTTGAAGGCTACTGAAGGATTGTTGTATGGCATTGAAGCTCGTTTGGAGGTTTGTTAACACAGTGTCCAATGAAGGGCCAGATGTATACAAAATGGTGTCGTCTGCGTAGAGGTGGATCTGAGAGTCACCAGCAGCAAGAGCGACATCATTGATATACACAGAGAAAAGAGTTGGCCCAAGAATTGAACCCTGTGGCACCCCCATAGAGACTGCCATAGGTCCAGACAACAGGCCCTCCGATTTGACACACTGAACTCTATCTGAGAAGTAGTTGGTGAACCAGGCGAGGCAGTCATTTGAGAAACCAAGGCTATTTAGTCTGCCAATAAGAATGCGGTGGTTGACAGAGTCGAAAGCCTTGGCCAGGTCGATGAAGACGGCTGCACAGTACTGTCTATTATCAATCGTGGTTATAATATCGTTTAGGACCTTGAGCGTGGCTGAAGTGCACCCGTGACCAGCTCGGAAACCGGATTGCATAGCGGAGAAGGTACGGTGGTATTCGAAATGGTCGGTGATCTGTTTGTTAACTTGGCTTTCGAATACTTTCGAAAGGCAGGGCAGGATGGATATAGGTCTGTAGCAGTTTGGATCTAGAGTGTCACCCCCTTTGAAGAGGGGGATGACCGCGGCAGCTTTCCAATCTCTGGGGATCTCAGACGTTATGAAAGAGAGGTTGAACAGACTAGTAATAGGGGTTGCGACAATTTCGGCGGCTAGTTTTAGAAAGAAAGGGTCCAGATTGTCTAGCCCAGCTGATTTGTAGGGGTCCAGATTTTGCAGCGCTTTCAAAACATCAGCTGTCTGAATTTGTGTGTGAAGGAGAAGCGGGGGGGGCATGGGCAAGTTGCAGCAGAGGGTGCAGAGTTGGTGGCCGGGTTAGTGGTAGCCAGATGGAAAGCATATTTTCATAAACTATTAGGCTATTTCTTCACATTATAACGCAGCAATGTGCACAACTTATAGTCTTTCATTCAGAATGTGCAAGGATAATATTCTAAGCAGCTCGAATTTCAACGGCAACCTCCTTGGGGGTGGTAATGCCCCTAAAAGACCAAGCCTTTTTTGGTTGGCTTGGGCGAACTATAATAATTATAATTTTTGCACTGCGTTAAGAAATCCCCATTCACCATGGTTTAGGATCTCAATTTTATTTCAACAATACTGTCTGATCTGGTTCTACGGGGATACTAGGGTAGGCACAAGGTGCAGAAGGGCCGATTAGGGAGCAATGAGCTTTTCAATCTATTAATTCTGATGCATATGAAGCAGATGTAGAACGAACGTGCAATTTAGCCTAATTTTCAAAAGCCAACAAGATGAGTAAGACTTTATCAAAAGACAAAGCAATTAGCTAATGTAATTTACTATACCCATTTTTAGAAAGTGATTTGATCCTATTCTATTGGGTAAACCTGTCCGTCTGTGTGAGAAATAATTTCCACAACTCTGGGACAGGTTGGGATGCGATAGATCCTAATTTGATACAACCCTAGCATCAAACATTTGAAAGCACATGAGGATGTACACAGATCGAACGTAGCTTATTTGTTTCTAACCTGATAGGCATTTTCACATATAAGCCACAAGGCAATGTGCACCACAGGCAGTAGGCTATAAGCACTAATGTTCCAAAATGCAATTAGCAGGAAAACACTGTTCTCAAAAGTGACCGCAAATGCGAATTATTAATGTAATGCTTTATTATAAAGGTGCATTTTTATGGTGAAAATGATCTTCTCCAAACTTGAAACTCACGCGCCGCCTATGTATGCCAGTTAGGCTCTACAACGGTTGTAAAGCGAATTAATGTGCTTAAAATTTGGCCACTTTAGTTGTGATACAAACCTTATCAAAACATATGCATGCGCTGTTTCTTGCCTTACTGCACACTATAGGCGTCATTCACAAGTGATAATACATAGCTCACAAGTGATAGGCTAATATTGTCACCCATCAGACTATTCTTAATTTAATGTTGTCTTTACATATACTAAATAATATATGTGTGAATTAGTTTTGATTTAGAATGGACCATTATCATGCACCTGTGTCGGAACAGGGGCAGGGGAAAAAAATACATGTCATCTATGCACTTAAATAGCAAATGGAGGACACTTTTCCTGTGGTTCATTTTCATGCCAGCCAGTTAGGCTATACTCCTGTTTTAAAGCAAAGCAATGTGCTTAATATTAGGAAAGTTGATAAATAAATATAGTAGGCCTAGCCTATAGAAAGCTGATATTAGCTCTTTTTAATAGAGGCCATCAAAACTGTTTTCTCACGCAATTGCATAGCCTATAGAAATTTGTGCAACATGAGCTCATGGGCTCTCATGAAGTGTTTGATTAGATTTTTGAAAACATTTGCATTGATGTCAGAGTGATTAGCGGGACAGTAGTGCTGAGTACCAGGCAGTTAGCGAGTTTGGTAGGATACTAATGACCACCAGCAGCATCAGAGCTTGGAGAAGCCTAGTTACTGTGACTAAAAGGTCACGTGGAATTTCACTGCTGTCATGACTCGTGACTACCGGTGTGGTGGTAATATGATCACCGTAACTAGGTAGGCTAACTTAACACGTCCTGTATCACACCTTAGTCATGTTTAGGAGATCCAGGTGTTTCACCTATAGGTGGTCAAAAGGAAGAGACGCAAAGAAAGGTAGCTGTTTTAAAGGGATATTTAGCATGCTAGTAGATACCCATAGACTTCCAGTCATTGCGCTAATGCTAGTTAGCATTGGCTTGTGAAATTACCTCTAACTTCCTTCATACTGGACACAGAGACATAAAAATGGAATCCACTAGCTTATCTGACTCTTGGGAAGTAGTCATTGCCAAAATCCCGACGTATTCCTTTAAAGTATTAGGATAGAAAGAAAGAGCTTTTCTCTTGATCTGTAGGTCAATAAAAGGACCAAAGGAACAAATGTAATAACCGTAGCTAAGGGAACAGGGGAAATGATTAATTTCAATATAGACTATTCATCTTATACTTTCTACTACTTCAATTTACCTTTTTAAATTGTCTTTTTGAATGACTACACAAATACATTACTTAATTCAACACTATAAAAGTGCCCCAGAGACTCTGCATAAGCCAGACAGACAGAAAGTACCAGAAATATGTTTTATCAGATCTAAATCCCATCTCCAATATGCTGCTTGTCATTTTCCTGTCTGAGATTACCAGCATTGTTGCCTTGTAGATCTGAGGCTATTCTTGGAAAATGTGGAGATTGTAATGGAAAATATTAGAGGAATTTCATATCAGACAACCGCTGTGCTAAAGCAGTACTTTGATAGTGAATTGGTTCAGAATGTCTAGGACAAGACCTCAACCACTAGATTTGTTTTGTCATAGTCCAGACTTGCTGTGTTGCATTCAATCATCATTTACTGGCCCAGTCTACTGGTGGTGGTAACTGGGTTTTTGAGAAACATTGGACTCATACCCAACATATAATACAGTATTAGGCCTGTCTAGTAGAAGTTCACCATTTTGCATGGGGTTCAAGTGAGGTTACTCTTTCCTGTTTGTCAGCTAAAATCCTAATTTGGGATTTGTGTGCTTAACCTCAGCCTTCACCTGAATAATACATTAATGTCAACTGAATATGCTTGCAAGTCTAATTCTTGTTTATGTAAAGAACTTGTTTAACTCAAGTTAAATGTCAGCTGTGTTAGGCCTATATAAAAACCCTATTTTACCCAGAATGAGACACAGGAGAACCAGATCAAGAATCACTTCAAGTTAGAGGTTATACAATCAACGCTTGCTGAACACTAGTGCTCTTCCAATATGAAGGACTGAGCTTATAAAATGTTTATTTATAACCTAAGGTGTTTCTGTGTTTGTTGGTTGATATTATGATGTAAGCGTCCATTTCATCCTCTCCCAACCCCTCCCCTCTCTGTCCCGTGTATTCCGGTGGTGGTGAGCTGCTCTTGCCCCTGGTGACATACTCACTGTTGCAGGTTCACCCCCCGGTACCGGTAACGGCTCAGCCTCGTCCCCACCTCTAGCCCTCAACGACAACCGGCCAGCTGGTGACAACCTGGACACCATCCTGTTCCAGCTGCGCCATGTGACCCGCGAGAGGGACGAGCTCCGCAAGCGTCTGGCCCTGGCATCACCTGGCACCACCTTCGATGAGTGCAGGTATAGACAACCCCCACCCCCCACATGACTGAGGAGAGGGAAGAGCAGTGTGGAAAGTCTTTGTTCTGTAAATCAATGTATTCATCCAACAATTGGTCAAATACAACATCTAGACAAAATAGAGTAGATAACCTAAACTGAATGTCTCTAGGTAACAAGTAGTCAAAATACAAGATTTAGACATAGAATCCACTCTAGCTAATCATACAATTCAAGGTAGCCTATTCAGGCATGTTGTTATCCCTAAGCACCTGAACTACAGCACACGGTCTGCTATGATTGACACTGTAACATTTGGTTAATTTCTCTCTGTGTCGTCATTACTTTGAGTTCAATGACCTGTAGGTTTATGATTGCTCATGTTTACAAACATCTTTATGAAGCATTCTGTTTCCTGAAGCCAATGTACAGAATCAAGAGGGATGCACAATAGTGAGTTCATCTCTCATTGGTAGACGTGCTCTCAGGGAAAAGGGCTCCAATCCCATGATATTAGTCAACACACTGCAGACACTGCTATGAAGAGTGGTCTCTAGAATGTTGCAAAGTAGCCCTGCCTCTGACTGAGTGTATTTAAGGTCCCATCAAGTCTATTGCCCTCTATCATCTGGCTTTAGGATCAATACTGTTGACAGAAATTGAAAAGTAACCATGCGGTAACCATCCTGTTCAGTTTATGAACACCCTCTTGAGTTCCGGGTAACAGGTTGTTAAAAACGCAATTCAGAACAGGGAGGGACGCCTAGTGGATTTAAGGTGTGAGAGAAAGCACTGACCGAGAGAGAGAGAGAGAGAGAGACATATAGTTTGACATGACTCAGTTTTGACATTTTACCATTTTAATTAGAGCCAATTTAACCAAATGTACCAAGACAATTACAAGACAATCAAATTCCATTCAGAGTGCAAATTAGGAACCCTTCATACAGTTTGCTGAACTCCGCGGCTCTGGGTTGACACAGGCCGTCATTGTAAATAAGAATTTGTTCTTAACTGACTTGCCTAGTTAAATAAAGGTAAAATAAAAAAAATAAAGATGGATGCAGTTTCCTTGGGGTCCTCTGCATTTCGATGCAAAGCAACTGTATGCCTTTGTTCTATCTAACTCTTATATCTAAACTGACATTGGGCTTCCCTTGTAGACAAGGTCTCAGTTTGTAGTTCTTATGTAGTGATGCATCTTATTGCCTCCTTGTCTCCCCAAAGGCCAAATTCCAAAGCCAGCCATGACTATGAGCGTCTGAAAAGCCAGTGTATGAGGGCCATGGCAGATCTCCAGTCTCTACAGAACCAACACACCAAGACTCTGAAGAGGTGTGAGGAGGCCGTCAAGGAGGCTGACTTTTACCAGTGAGTACCACCATCATCACATCACTGATTGGGTTGGTCGACCGACTGACTGACTGGGTTGTTGCAAAAAACAACAACATGTAGTGTCTGGGGAGAGGTGGACGTTTAGTGGTCCTGGACTACACTGCCCAGCCTAATGTCAGGAATCCTCCGTTAGTCTATTAACTGTTTCTGAATAGACTGTAATTAGATGGGAATAATGAGAGGTTTTATGGTATCATTGTTTTACTCACTTACAGACTGGAGAAGTGCCTGGTGCTGCATTTACACTAATTGAAAGAACATTATGTGCTAATGGTGTGTTTCTACGAAATGGTAATGGGGATTACCTAAATCTGAATTAAGGAGTTGTACAGCAATATCGTTTATAGTCAATTGATAATGGAGTCATATCAAGTTATGTTCTATAGGCCTACCAAACGCTTCACTCAACCTACAGTATGTGTAGCCGTCATGCTTTTAATCACTTACTAGAGTTAACATCAACTCTAACAGAGAACCACATGTACTTCTTTGCAAAGTTCTATATGGACAAGATGTGGTAATCCATGGCGTTAAATCCAGGCATGGAAGGTGTGTGCGTGCATGCATTTAAAGGGATAGTTTGTGGATACCATTTTTATGTCTCTTCGTTCGGTATGAAGGATGTAAGGGGTCGTTTTTTTAGCCACCGCTAACTAGCTTAGCGCAAAGACTGGAAGCTAGCTAGCTGTGGCCGACTATTTCCTGTCTTTGCGCTAAGCTAGTGCTTACGCTAGTTAGCACTGGCGCGCAAAACTACCTATAGCTTCCTTTATACTGGATACAGAGGCATAAAAATGCTATCCACGAGTTCATCTGACTCTGAGGAAGTATATAAAGGGCTTCATTGCCACAATCCTGAACTATCATTTTAAGTGTGTGTCCTTGTGAGCGTGTGTGGTTAACGATGGAACTTTGGCTTACGAGTGTTTTTTAACGATGCATCGTAAAAATAACGGCCGACGGTGTCACACCCGTTTCCCAAAACACCACGCAGTGCACTCGTTACAAAGTGAAACTGTCATTACAGGAGCTGTGCCGTGCTGAAGATGATTCCAGAAGAGCTCGCTGTAGCTCTTAAATGACGTATGGCTATTCAGTCATCAATTTTTTTGAATCCCTTTTCCCATCAAGATAAATGTTCTGTAGCCTACTATGTACAGTATTTAAGTGTTTGCCATGTGTTACGATGTATTGTGTGTTTTTCTCGATCTATTTTGTATGCAATGTTTGATTATGTAAATTCAGCATTTCTTCAGTTTGTGTAAACTGTGAGCAAGAATGAATAAAGCCAAAGTCAAGTCACTCGTTCCCTCTAGAAAATGTCAACGTGACAAAAATAGGATATGATGACAAAGGTTTTTGTAATTGCTCAAATAGTCATTGTAGCTAATGGCAGGCATGAATTGAGCTTCAAGTAGGCCTATAGATATTCTACAATCAAATAATTAAACATGATGTAGCAAGTTAAGCGACGTTGCCATAGACCTAATGTTGACCTTTAGGTTATTGGTTAGGCTACAGTGAAATGCATGAGCTTTTAGATAATAGTAGCCTATAAGCTTAATAGATAGACTACAACTGAGCCGCTTCAATATTCATAATGGCTTAATACTAGGTAGGTCTATCGATTGCACATACATGAAAGTGATGTCAATCTTTAGCCTAGATTATCTCAGTTTTAATTTTTTTAAATGTGTCCTTGCTTCGCTTGTTTATAACATAGCAAACTTTTTAGGCTAATTATATTCAACAATGACGTTTTTGGCAGTCCACAGAGACCGAAAGACATCTTCATTCAATGTTTAGCTGAGATCTTCTGTGTGTAAAGTGACATGGGAGGACAAACGGTGATCTAATGATGCACTTAGCTGTTCTATGAGTGCTCTGAGGCAGGCGTTAGATTACCAGCGATTTCAAGTGCAACGTTAATAAAGAGGGTTTTGGGAAACGGCTCAGAAATGTAAAGATGCTCTTACCAAGGTTCTAACTATGAACTTCGCCTTGAGGCTTTTGGAAAGCTGGGCCCTGGACAGGAGTCCGTTGTAAATGCAATATTGGCGCAATAATGGGCTGAGTTTGATTGGTTCTCTCAAATGTTTTTTTTTCTTTCCTGGGGGGTCGAGACTTCACGTTGTTTAGATTTGAAAATCCAACAGATGTATGGGAAGGTGGCGGCGCTCGGGAGCTGTGTGTGGTTGTTTGAGTGAGAGACACAGAGGACAACCAATCAGTAAAAAAGTAGAGCCCTCTTCATTATCGACACATCGTGCCTACAACACCAAGCAGCCTGGCCAGACTCTGAAGTCAGGAGGTCTGTTTGGCATTAGCCTGACCACCATGCTCCCAGTGGAGAATCTCTACTTCTATTTGGACCGTGTTGAGAGATGTGCCATCAGTGTCCGGAAAGTGTCTTCCCCTCCCCCAGTAGTGACCTCTCCCTATCTGTCTCCAGTATGCTCCACAGCCGTGTGTTAGGAGACCAGTCGCAGCTGAAGGAGGAGCTGGAGGTGTTGAGGAGAGACACCACTCAGCTGGTCAGGGAACACAACCACCTGAAGCAGAGCTGTGAGGAGCTCCGCAGGCTGCACAGCGAGGACCAGAAGGAGGTGGCCGACATGAGGCTGCAGCAGCAAGAGGTACACACACACACCACACACACACACACACACACACACACACAAGGTTGCTGTGACCTATACTTGGCTGCTGTGCTTTCACACACCCACAAATCACCTGAGAAGACTGCTGCAGTGGACAGGACGCACACACTGCTGGGAGATGCATACGGAGCACTTCTGTAAAGGGCAGGGTTTGAGGACAAGGTCACTGGCTCATGTAAAGGGTATGTGCCCCCCCCCCCCCCCACCCCCACCCCCTATATACATGCTGTGATGTAGTCTGGATCAATACTGCCCTGGGGTCACACCTGCTCCCACAGTAATTACCACAGAGTCCAGCCTGACATACAGAAACTGCCGGGAGGTTATTGCATTTTAATGATGAGGTGATTTTACAGGCCGGCAAAAGTGAAACCTAGGGGCTAGTTAGTTACACCATAGTACCTAAGGCTGCGTTTACACAGGCAGTCCCATTTTGATCTTTTGCCTAATATTATTATTATTATTATTATTATTACATCCTTTGCCAATAATTGGGCAAAATATCAGAATTGGGCTGCCTGTGTAAAAGCAGTCTAATAGTCTTGAATAATCCATACTGCATCTGTTCACTGTTGCCCTCTGCTGATTAACTAGTGTAAAAATGAATCCATGCTCATTCTGGCTTGTTGATTGTTCCGGTGGCTTGGTTGTCCAACATGATGCTTTAGAAGAATAACATAGCCACACTCTATCAATCCAAAGAAATGCATGTATTATTTTAATAAAGCAACATTTTTGAATGCGTCAACTCTGTATAATAAACATGAGTAATTCGTAATTTCACACAGAGACGGCAACTGAAGATGCACAAACTGTATGTGTATTTAGAAAAGCATCAGATGAATGACCATGTCCTTCCTCCAGGTGATGAGAGAGAACGGTTCATCAGAGGTTCTCAACAAGCTGTACGACACGGCCATGGACAAGCTGGAGGGGGTGAGGAAGGAATACGATTCGCTGAGCAAACGCTACGGTGAAAAGGTAGCCAATCACAACACGGACCTGAGCAGGCTGGAGCAGGTGGAGGAAGAGAACCGACGACTACAGAAACAGATGGACATGCTGCTGAAACAACGAGACAAGGCCATACACTACCAACAGCAGTGCTCTACGTCCATGAGGAGGTAAACACACACACACTGCACAATCCACGAGAAATGTCTATACACTACACACACACCTATACAGTACTACACACCTCTCCCTCTCTCCCCAGGTTTGACTCTGTACAACAGGAGCTGGACAAGTCTTCAACCCAGAACAAGGAGCTGCAGAGGGAGATGGAGCGGCTGCAGTCGGAGGTGACGCGCTGTAAGAACTTCCAGCTGAAGGCAGTAAAGGACTGTGAGAAGTACAAGGAGGAGAGGGACTCTGTGTTCAACGAGTACAGGCTCATCATGAGCGAGAGGGACCAGGTCAGAGAGAAATACATATATTACATTAAAGCCCGGTTTCCCGGACACCAATTAAGCCTAGTCCTGGACTAAGAAGCTACTTTCAATGTATAATCACCATTGAGTATGCTTCTTTTGTCGAGGACTGGGCTTAATTTTTGTCCAGGAATTCAGCCCATTATTATTTTATACTAAAACTGTAATACAATAATAAAGTGGTTTATTAAACTCTGTGGAACAGGTGATCAAGGAGCTGGACAAGCTGCAGACAGAGCTGGAGGCTGCAGAGGCCCGCCTCAAAAACACCTCGTCTGAAAGGATGGTGGCCAGCGAGGAGATGGAGGCTCTCAGACAGGTAATCATCAATAGGTTAATCAATTAATATATCTTATCAATTAATCATCTGAGCGGATAGTGGCCAGTGAGGCTCTCAGACCGCTGCCTGATCAATTAGCTACATTTGTCACTGCCGGATCAACCAAGGGATTTTGTGATTGTGTTATGGCATTAAATCTGATTTCATTGTTTGTTTTTAGGAGCTGAACTCGTCGTTGGTGGACCGGGACAGATCAATCTGTGAGAGGAACGAGCTGTTGGAGAAGTACTGCCACGAGGTGAAGGACAAGGCCGAGGCCCAGAAGGAGCTGAGCCAAGCCTGTAAAGACATCGAGACGGTCCGGGAGGAGAGAGACGTGGCCCGCAAGGAGAGGACAGAGGCCATCATACAGAGGGAACAGCTACTGAGAGAGTGCTACCAGGCTAGACAGGTAACACACACAGCTCTTACATTTATAATACACACCTGTATTAGAGAGAGGACAGAGGCTATCATACAGAGAGAACAGCTACTGAGAGAGTATTACCAGGCTAGACCTGGGAACAACACACACACAATGTTTTCTGAAACACCGGTATGGACAAAGTACATAGGCATTGAAAGTAAATTTAATTCTTAAAAAAAATACAATCTACCCAGTTATCAGCACCATCTTCGCTGTCTGTCAAAAGGGACAGCTCCCAGCCACAGGTTAGACACATGATGAAGTGATAGAGCTTAGTGTATCCTATAAAGTGTCAACTATTGGATTATGTCAGTGGAATGACCCTAAAGCGTAGGCCATCATTGTAAATAACAATTTGTTCTTAACTGACTTGCCTAGTTAAATAAAGGTTAAATAAAAAAAAGAATTACAAAAAAAGCAGATTTAGTCTCCTAGATAAATGCTGCTGCTGACACTTCCCTGTTCAGACCACTAGATGGCCCTCCTACTGCGGTTTTACACTACAGGAGTCAGTATGCATAAAGGTAGACTCAGCGAAATGACGTTGCCACGAGCAGCACTGCGGATATTGATGAGCGCGATGCAAGACTTTCGCTCTCACACGGTCACACACGGTATCTGCGCATGTTCACTGGTTCGCTTCAAGCTGTTCACAGATTGGTAGCCAGGGCACCAAAACAGCGGAGAAGTTGAGCCTCACGCTTCAACCCTCTTAGTTGTTGCGGATATTGACCCACTATGCTGTTTACTTTCTGCATCTACGTCATATCACTGAGTCTACCTTTAAAACCTGTGATAGAAATCCCAGTTGGAGGATTCCCTCCCTGGTTATTTCCTTCTGATTGTGGGAATTCTCCAGCTGGGTTTACTGAGAAACCTGGGAACTTTTGGAAATGTGGGTTTGATCTGTTGAAGTTTGTTTTACTGAAAGTGACTGACTAACGTCCGTGTCTCTGTGTGTGTCCGTGTCTCTGTGTGTGTCCGTGTCTCTGTGTGTGTCCGTGTCTCTGTGTGTGTCCGTGTCTCTGTGTGTGTGACAGAAAGAAGATTCTGCCACTCTGGACATAGAGCGGGTCAACAAGGAGATGGAGGTGTTGAGGAAGCAGTATGAGGCCATGTCCCAGGAGCTGAAGGAGGCGACGCAGGAGGCCGAGGTGGCCAAGTGTCGACGTGACTGGGCCTTCCAGGAGAGAGACAAGATAGTGGCAGAGAGAGAGAGCATACGGTGAGTACAGGGTGAGAGAGAAGGGCGATAGAGGGAGGGAAAATAAAAGGTGGGGTAGGCTCTTTCTTAATTAGTCTTTCTTCTCTCCTTGCCTCCTTCTGAAAACGCATTGGATTAAAAGGTCAGAGAGGGGGAACCTCGGATATTCCCCAATGCGTTTTGAGAAGGAAGCAAGGAGAGGGGACGCAAGGAATTTCAATGGACTAAACTGTGCTGATGCTTGATGATGTCATATCCTGCCCCTCCAGGACGCTGTGTGACAACCTGCGTAGGGAGCGGGACCGTGCGGTCAGCGATCTGGCCGATGCCCTGCGTAACCTTGACGACATGAGGAAGCAGAAGAACGACGCGTCACGGGAACTGAAGGAACTCAAGTGAGTCCCTGAGTCTTTACACACACACACACACACACACACACACACACACACACACACACACACACACACTTTCTCATCACCTCTGTATTGATGTGAAAATCTCCCTCTACTGGTCAGTGTGTGACTGCTATGTTAAATTCTCTCAGTTTCTTGTGACTTTGAGAGGTCGCACTCCTTCCCTGTGACGAAGAAGAAAATAGTAAGATTTAGGTTTTCAAGTCAACGACCCCCTCTAGGCCTGCCTCATGAGGACATAATTGGTCTTGGTGACAGTCAGCCACCATAGGCCTATTTCTCCTTTCCTTCCCAACCACCATGGTCGACATTGCTAAGTAGTAAGCCAGAGAACAACACCAACTAGTCTTGCACAGGCGGGAACCCACAGAACACACACAAAAAAAGCCAGCAGATATAAAGTAGAGAGAGCAGAGACTTACCGATTTGACGGCTGAGTTGGCTACCAATGAAGAGCCAAGGAGCGAAGACTTCAGAGGGTGAGTCAGCTAATCCAATAGCAATATAGTGAGGTAAATCCAAAGCAGATTGATTCCAGAGGCAATAATCCATTGGACACCGGAGACCGAGATCATGTGGCCTCCACATTTGTGTAATCTGATTTGGTTGTTTACATCACACCTCCTCGTGATTGCAGGATTGTAGCTCACCACTGCCAACACTCGTTTTGCATGGCTAGTGGCTAACGCTAGCCAGCTCTGCACACAAGTCATGAAGTGTGGTGTCACTTCCATAGGCGTCATGTCCATAGGGTGCCCCCTCAAATTTGTCCTTTTTGTTTTGTAATGCTACTAACCACCTAGCAATTTTATGAAATTGGCTTTAGTTAGCCCACATGTGTTCCCAACCTCATAACTAGCTACCAAGAAGCCATTTGAGACTATCAATCAAGTTTGAGTAGCTAGCTTGTCCAAAAAAAAAAAATGTGCTGAATAAGACTCACATTCCTTTCAATATTTTACCCAGATTTTAGCAGAGATGGATATTTAGTTTCTTTAAAAAAAATAACCACCAGTCAGGAGGATACAGACAGCTCAAGGGGTAGGCTTAGATATGCAGAAAACTTGACATTTTTGACATAGAATTAAGCATAATGATTATGGATCTAGATTGCAGGAATAAGCTGTTTCAGGTGTTTGAAAAATGCAAAATTCTCCAACTTCCAGATGGAGGTCCTAGATCCCCTTCGAACCCCCCCCCCAGCCATCCTCACATACTTGTGATATCACTTCCTGACCTGTGTCTTGTCACTGTGTTCAGAGAGAAGATGGAGAGCCAGCTGGACAGGGAGGCAAGGTTCTGTCAGCTGATGGCCCACAGCTCCCATGACTCGGCTATCGACACAGACTCTCTGGAGTGGGAGACTGAGGTGGTGGAGTTTGAGAAGGACAGGGTCAGTCTGGAGACATCAACTACTGTTATTGATTTAATTGAATTATTATTTGACCATGGGATGGATGGATGGATTGACTGATTTCATAATTTGATAAATTGATTTCCAAATCCTGATAAATAATGTCTGATAGATACAGTATGTATGTAGATAACCAGTGTACAGTATGTTAAACTTAACTGTTTTCCTGTAGGATGACATGGATTTGAAGGCACTTGGGTTTGACATAGCAGAGGGGGTAAATGATCCGTATTTACCAGGAGATTGTGGAATATTTGTGACAAGAGTTGACAGAGGAAGTATTGCTGATGGAAGGTTAAGGTAATTCTCGGATTTTTTACATTTCTATCTGTAGCGTTTAACACCACTGAACACACCCTGTTCTTTCCTCATCTTCATCATCTCCAATAACACAATTTGACTTCCTGCTTTTCAGAGTGAATGATTGGTTGCTGAAGTTAAATGATGTGGATGTGACCAATAAGGACAGGAAGCAGGTGGTGAAGGCAGTGCTTAATGGAGGCTGGCTGATCAACATGGTGGTGCGCAGGAGGAAGTCTCTGGGAGGGAGGCTGGTCACCCCCATACACATCAACCTGATCGGACACAAAGGTACCAGCTTTTTTGACAAACTCTTTTTAGAGTCAACTTAGGTAATGAGTGTGTTCTGGCACCTTCCATATGGAACTCTGCCTTATGATGCATCCCTTAAATAATATTCCATCTAGTGCATATGGCTTTTATATCTTTGTCCCCTATCCTTCTCTCTAACCCAGACAGTGGTATAGGTCTGGAGAGTGGTGTATTTGTGACGGCCCTGGTCCAGGGGAGTCCTGCTGCCAGGGAGGGATCTCTGACAGTCGGAGACAGACTTATCGCTGTGAGTTCTCTTCTCCTACTCCACCTCTTCTCCTGCTCCACCTCTTCTCCTGCTCCACCTCTACTCCTGCTCCACCTCTTCTCCTGCTCCACCTCTTCTCCTACTCCACCTCTTCTCCTACTCCACCTCTTCTCCTACTCCACCTCTTCTCCTACTCCACCTCTTCTCATCCTCCTTTTCATCCTCCACTTCCTCCCGCATCTACTCCTCCTTCTCTCCTCCTCCTTCTTCTTCTCTCCTCCTCCTTCTTCTCTCCTCCTTCTTCTTCTTCTCTCCTCCTCCTCCTTCTCCTCCTCCTCCTCCCTCCTTCTTCTCCTCCTTCTTCTCCTCCTTCTCCTCCTCATCCATCTCTTCTCCTCCTCCTTCTCGCCTCCTCCGTCTCTCCTCCTCCTCCTTTTCTTCTTCTCCTTTTTCTCTCCTCCTTCTCTTCTCCTCCTTCTTCTTCAATCCTCCTCCTCCTCTCCTCATTTTCCTCCTCTTCTTCTCCTGTTCTTCTTCTTCTAATCCATTATCTTCCAACCTCTCCCTCCTTTTCCTTCACCTGATTTCACCCCTGTTCCATGTACGCTACCGGTCAAAAGTTAAGACACACCTACTCATTCAATGGTTTTTCTTTATTTTTACTATTTTCTACATTGTAGAATAATAGTGAAGACGTCAAGACTATGAAATAACACATATGGAATCATGTAGTAACCAAAAAAGTGTTAAACAAATCAAAATATATTTTATATTTGAGATTCTTCAAATAGCCACCCTTTGCCTTGATGACAGCTTTGCACACTCTTGGCATTCTCTCAACCAGCATCATGAGATAGTCACCTGGAATGCATTTCAATTAACAGGTGTGCCTTGTTAAAAGTTAATTTGTGGAATTTATTTCCTTCTTAATGCGTTTGTGCCAATCAGTTGTGTTGTGACAAGGTAGGGTTGGTATACAGAAGATAGCACTATTTGGTATAAGACCAAGTCCATATTATGGCAAGAACAGCTCAAATACAGTGGCTTGCGAAAGTATTCACCCCCCTTGGCTTTTTTCCTATTTTGTTGCCTTACAACCTGGAATTAAAATGCATTTTTGGGGGGTTTGTATCATTTGATTTACACAACATGCCTACCACTTTGAAGATGCAAAATCTTTTTTATTTTGAAACAAACAAGAAATAAGACAAAAAAACAGAACTTGAGCGTGCATACTCTATTCACCCCCCCCCCAAAGTCAATACTTTGTAGAGCCACCTTTTGCAGCAATTACAGCTGCAAGTCTCTTGGGGTATGTCTCTATAAGCTTGGCACATCTAGCCACTGGGATTTTTGCCCATTCTTCAAGGCAAAACCGCTCCAGCTCCTTCAAGTTGGATGGGTTCCGCTGGTGTACAGCAATCTTTAAGTCATACCACAGATTCTCAATTGGATTGAGGTCTGGGCTTTGACTAGGCCATTCCAAGACATTTAAATGTTTCCCCTTAAACCACTCGAGTGTTGCTTTAGCAGTATGCTTAGGGTCATTGTCCTGCTGAACCTCCGTCCCCGTCTCAAATCTCTGGAAGACTGAAACAGGTTTCCCTCAAGAATTTCCCTGTATTTAGCGCCATCCATCATTCCTTCAATTCTGACCAGTTTCCCAGTCCCTGCCGATGAAAAACATCCCCACAGCATGGTGCTGCCACCACCATGCTTCACTGTGGGGATGGTGTTCTTTGGGTGATGAGGTGTTGGGTTTGCGCCAGACATAGCGTCTTCCTTGATGGCCAAAAAGCTCAATTTTAGTCTCATCTGACCAGAGTACCTTCTTCCATATGTTTGGGGAGTCTCCCACATGCCTTTTGGCGAACACAAAACGTGTTTGCTTATTTTTTTCTTTAAGCAATGCCTTTTTTCTGGCCACTCTTCCGTAAAGCCCAACTCTGTGGACTGTACGGCTTAAAGACATCATATGGCGCCGGAGAAGATGGCTGCCGTTTTTACAGCCCTCTAACCAATTGTACTATTATGTGTGTTTTTCCGCGTTATTTGTAATTTATTCTGTACATAATGTTTCTGCCATCGTCTCTTATAACCAAAAAGAGCTTCTGGATATCGGGACAACGATTACTCACCTCGTATTGGACGAAGATTTTTTCTTCAACAAGTCGGACGCGAAGGATATCCTACAGACACCCGACAAGGCCCAAATCCCTGTCATTTGCATGAGAAAGAGACAGAGATATCGTGGACGTAGGTCGGGGTGCCTTGTAAGGATCCGACGGCGAGCGAGTAAACTGCCTCTTCCATCAAACCTATTAGCCAATGTTCAATCATTTGAGAATAAATTGGATGACCTAAGATTACGGTTATCCTAACAACGGGACATTAAAAACTGTATTATCTTATGTTTCACCGAGTCGTGGCTGAACGACGACATCGACAACATGCAGCTAGCGGGCTATACACTACATCGGCAGGATAGAATGGCTGACTCTGGTAAGACAAGGGGTGGCGGTCTGTGTATATTTGTAAACAACAGCTGGTGCACAAAATCAAATACTAAGGAAGTCTCGTGGTTTTGCTCACCTGAGGTAGAGTATCTTATGATAAGCTGTAGACCACACTATTTACCAAGAGAGTTTTCATCTATATTTTTCATAGCTGTCTATTTACCACCACAAACCAATGCTGGCATTAAGACTGCACTGAATGAGCTGTATAAGGCCATAAGTGAACAGGAAAACGCTCATCCAGAGGCAGTGTTCCTAGTGGCCGGGGACTTTAATGCAGGGAAACTTAAATCCGTTCTACCTAATTTCTACCAGCATGTTAAATGTGCAACCAGAGGGAAAAAAAACTCTAGACCACCTTTACTCCACACACAGAGATGCATACAAAGCTCTCCCTCGCCCTCCATTTGGCAAATCTGACCATAACTCTATCCTCCTGATTCCTGCTTATAAGCAAAAACTAAAGCAGGAAGCACCAGTGACTCGGTTAATAAATAAGTGGTCAGATGACGCAGATGCTAAACTACAGGACTGTTTTGCTAGCACAGACTGGAACATGTTCCGGGATTCTTCAGATAGCATTGAGGAGTACACCACATCAGTCACTGGCTTCATCAATAAGTGCATCGATGATTTCGTCCCCACAGTGACCGTACGTACATACCCCAACCAGAAGACATGGAATACAGGCAACATCCGCACTGAGCTAAAGGGTAGAGCTGCCGCTTTCAAGGAGCGGGACTCTAACCCGGACGCTTATAAGAAATCCCGCTATGCCCTCCGACGAACCATCAAACAGGCAAAGAGTCAATACAGGACTAAGATGGAATCGTACTACACCGGCTCTGACACTCGTCAGATGTGGCAGGGCTTGAAAACTATTACAGACTACAAAGGGAAGCACAGCCGCGAGCTACCCAGTGACACAAGACTTCCAGATGAGCTATTCCACTTCTATGCTCGCTTCGAGGCAAGCAACACTGAAGCATGCATGAGAGCACCAGCTGTTCTGGATGACTATGTGATCACGCTCTCCGTAGCCAATGTGAGTAAGACTTTTAAGCAGGTCAACATTCACAAGGCCGCAGGGCCAGACGGATTACCAGGACGTGTCCTCTGAGCATGTGCTGACCAACTGGCAAGTGTCTTCACTGACATTTTCAACATGTCCCTGACTGAGTCTGTAATACCAACATGTTTCAAGCAGACCACCATAGTCCCCGTGCCCAAGAACACTAAGATAACCTGCCTAAATAACTACCGACCCGTAGCACTGACGTCTGTAGCCATGAAGTGCTTTGAAAGGCTGGTCATGGCTCACATCAACACCATTATCCCAGAAACCCTAGACCCACTCCAATTTGCATACCGCCCCAACAGATCCACAGATGATGCAATCTCTATTGCACTCCACACTGCCCTTTCCCACCTAGACAAAAGGAACACCTACGTGAGAATGCTATTCATTGACTACAGCTCAGCATTCAATACCATAGTGCCCTCAAAGCTCATCACTAAGCTAAGGATCCTGGGACTAAACACCTCCCTCTGCAACTGGATCCTGGACTTCCTGACGGGCGGCCCCCAGGTGGTAAGGGTAGGTAACAACACATCTGCCACACTGATCCTCAACACGGGAGCCCCTCAGGGGTGCGTGCTCAGTCCCCTCCTCTACTCCCTGTTCACCCATGACTGCATGGCCAGGTACGACTCCAACACCATCATTAAGTTTGCCGACGACACAACAGTGGTAGGCCTGATCACCGACAACGATGAGACAGCCTATAGGGAGGAGGTCAGAGACCTGGCCGTGTGGTGCCAGGATAACAACCTCTCCCTCAACGTGACCAAGACAAAGGAGATGATTGTGGACTACAGGAAAAAAAAGAGGACTGAGCTTGCCCCCATTCTCATCGACGGGGCTGTAGTGGAACAGGTTGAGAGCTTCAAGTTCCTTGGTGTCCACATCACCAACGAACTATCATGGTCCAAACACACCAAGATAGTCGTGAAGAGGGCACGACAAAGCCTATTCCCCCTCAGGAGACTGAAAAGATTTGGCATGGGTCCTCAGATCCTCAAATATTTATTCAGCTGCACCATCGAGCATCCTGACTGGTTGCATCACTGCCTGGTATGGCAACTGCTCGGCCTCCGACCGCAAGGCACTACAGAGGGTAGTGCGTACGGCCCAGTACATCACTGGGGCCAAGCTTCCTGCCATCCAGGATCTCTATACCAGGCGGTGTCAGAGGAAGGCCCTTAAAATTGTCAAAGACTCCAGCCACTCTAGACATAGACTGTTCTCTCTGCTACCGCACGGCAAGCGGTACCGGAGTGCCAAGTCTAGGTCCAAAATACTTCTCAACAGCTTCTACCCCCAAGCCATAAGACTCCTGAACAGCTATCATGGCTACCCGGACTATTTGCACTGCCCCCCCACCCCATCTTTTTACGCTGCTGCTACTCTGTTAATTATTTATGCATAGTCACTTTAACTCTACCCACATGTACATATTACTTCAACTACCTCAACTAGCCGGTGCCCCTGCACATTGACTCTGCACCGGTACCCCACTGTATATATAGCCTCCCTACTGTTATTTTATTTGACTTCTGCTCTTTTTTTCTCAACACTTTTTTGTTGTTTTATTTTACTTTTTTTATTTAAAAATAAATGCACTGTTGGTTAAGGGCTGTAAGTAAGCATTTCACTGTAATGTCTGCAACTGTTGTATTCGGCGCATGTGGCCAATAAAATTTGATTTGATTTGAAGTCGTCCTATGGACAGATACTCCAATCTCCGCTGTGGAGCTTTGCAGCTCCTTCAGGGTTATCTTTGGTCTCTTTGTTGCTTCTCTGATTAATGCCCTCCTTGCCTGGTCTGTGAGTTTTGGTGGGCGGCCCTCTCTTGGCAGGTTTGTTGTGGTGCCATATTCTTTCAATTTTTTTATATTGGATTTAATGGTGCTCCGTGGGAAGTTTCGGATATTTTTTTATAACCCAACCCTGATCTGTACTTCTCCACAACTTTGTCCCTGACCTGTTTGGAGAGCTCCTTGGTCTTCATGGTGCCGCTTACTTGGTATTGCCCCTTGCTTAGTGGTGTTGCAGACTCTGGGGCCTTTCAGAACAGGTGTATTTATACTGACATCATGTGACAGATCATGTGACACTTAGATTGCACACAGGTGGACTTTATTTAACTAATTATGTGACTTCTGAAGGTAATTGGTTACACCAGATCTTATTTAGGGGCTTCATAGCAAAGGGGGTGAATTCATATGCACGCACCACTTTTCCGTTATTTTTAATTTTTAGAATCAAGTTATTTTTTTCATTTCACTTCACCAATTTGGAAAATTTTGTGTATGTCCATTACATGAAATCCAAATAAAAATCCATTTAAATTACAGGTTGTAATGTAACAAAATAGGAAAAAATGGCAAGGGGGATGAATACTTTTGCAAGGCACTGTAAGCAAAGAGAAACGACAGTCCATCATTACTTTAAGACATGAAGGTCAGTCAATACGGAACATTTCAAGAACTTTGAACGTTTCTTCAAGTGCAGTCACAAAAACCATCAAGCGCTATGATTAAACTGTCTCTCATGAGGACCGCCACAGGAATGGAAGACCCAGAGTTACCTCTGCTGCAGAGGATAAGTTCATTAGAGTTACCAGTTCATTAGAAATTGCAGCCCAAATAAATGCTTCACAGAGTTCAAGTCACAGACACATCTCAACATCAACTGTTCAGAGGGCACTTTGTGAATCAGGCCTTCATGGTCGAATTGCTGCAAAGAAACCACTACTAAAGGACACCAATAATAAGAAGAGACTTGCTTGGGCCAAGAAACACGAGCAATGGACATTAGACCGGTGGAAATGTGTCCTTTGGTCTGGAGTCCAAATTGGAGATTCTTGGTTCCAACCACCGTGTCTTTGTGAGACGCGATTTGGGTGAACGGATGATCTCTGCATGTGTGTTTCCCACCGTGAAGCATGGAGGAGGAGGTGTTATGGTGTGGGGGTTCTTTGCTGGTGATTTTATTTAGAATTCAAGGCACACTTAACCAGCATGGCTACCACAGCATTCTGCAGTGATACGCCATCCCATCTGGTTTGGGCTTAGTGGGACTATCATTTTATCATTTGGGGCTTAGTGGGACTATCATTTGTTTTACAACAGGACAATGACCAAAACACCTCCAGGCTGTGTAAGGGCTATTTTAACAAGAAGTAGAGTGATGGAGTGCTTCATCAGATGACCTGGCCTCCACAATCCCCCCGACCTCAACCCAATTGAGATTGTTTAAGATGAGTCGGACCGCAGAGTGAAGGAAAAGCAGCCAACAAGTGCTCAGCATATGTGGGAACTCCTTCAAGACTGTTGGAAATCATTCCAGGTGAAGCTGGTTGAGAGAATGCCAAGAGTCTGCAAAGCTGTCATCAAGGGAAGGGGTGGCTATTTGAAGAATCTCAAATATAAAATATATTTTGATTTGTTTAACACTTTTTTGGTTACTACATGATTCCATATGTGTTATTTCATAGTTTTGATGTCTTCACTATTATTCTACAATGTAGAAAATAATACAAAATAAAGAAATCCCCTGGAATTAGTAGGTGTGTCCAACCTTTGACTGGTACTGTATATCTCTAGTGACAGACAGAATCATAGCCAGTCATCACTCTACCGAGCAGAATGACCTGCTCCCTAATCATGATCCACCAACTGCAGCAGAAAGCATAATCCTCCAGATCCTTACTGTGAAGCTTTGCTGCTTAATAAAACAGCTGGGCTTAGATGTCTCCCCACTCACCTCTAATGGCAGACCAGGGCTGTGTCCCAAAACTGCACCCTATTACTCCATACACAGCGCACTATTTTTAACTAGAGCCCATTTGGCCAAGGTCAAAAGTAATGCACTATATAGGGAATAGGGTGCCATGTGGTACACACTCAGTTGATACCCTCACCTTTTAATAGTAAAGTCAGACTAGCTGATATGGGATATGACCGCTCAGTGTTAGTGATTAGCGAGCATTGGATTAGATGGCTGCAGATGCCAATCATGGTTGTGTATCATCGTATACCATGTCCTTGTAGTTGTTAATCACTGAATGTAGCAGGTTATATTTCGCATATACCGTAGATGTTAAATTATGTTAGAAGGGAAAGGACCTGAACACGCTGACCCTAGAGCGACGTGCAGTCAGTGCACAATCTGCATATGCTAAAGCTGCACTCTTAATGATCATTACTACAATGTCTCAGACTAAGCTGTCAGCCCCCTCAGATGGAATATAATGCTTCAAACAGTACTGTATCATGCTAGGTGTTAAATATTCACTAGTCTGACCTCTTTTTAGAAAAGACTCAGGCTTGCATATATTACCAACTTTCCTCTTCTCCCTCGCTCCCTCAGCTCCTCTCCCCTCCCTCAGCCCTCCATCAGCTCTTCTCAGCTCCTCTCCCCTCCCTGCGCTCCTCTTGTACGCAGTATTTTTTATAATTCATCAGTCCTATTGTCATTGAAATGTGGCGATTGATAAAGGAGTGTGGGGGTGATCTAGTTGTAAGAAGAACCGCTGGCCTACATTTCTAATAGAAGAACCGCTGGCCTACATTTCTAATAGGATCCCACTGCAGCAGGAAGGAAGACAGACTCCAATCTCTGGCACTGTGTTCTTCAGGGGTAGGGGATCTCTATTAGGGTTAGGTTCATTGTCAACCTAGCTTGAAAGCAAGACGATCTAGCAGAACGTGTGTTTGTGTTTGAGAAAGGTGTAGTGTGTTTCTGAGCGTGTCCTCTGTTGTCCCCAGATCAACGGCATCGCTCTGGACAACAAGTCGGTGACTGAGTGTGAGACTCTGCTGAGGAACTGCAGGGAGTCTCTCAGCCTCTCTCTCATGAAGGTGAATCTAAACTAGCCCCCTGTACTAAGCTCCTTCAATACGCACTGGCCTTAAATTAGACTCAAGTTATTCTTCAGCCAATGTGATGCCACATAACAACCTTATTTAGGAAAGGGCTTTGACTTGAATCTAAACTTCACTGCTCACTGGCCTCAAATCAGCCTTACATTTTAGTTATCCTCAAGTCTATGTAGTGCCATACACTGCAACACTCTTATTTGATGCTATAGTGGGCACTCTTTTTTTGGACGGTGATTTGAATTTCTCCAAGTTTCTCAATAGCAAACACTTTAGATACTACTGCACTGCACAGGAGGTTGGTGGCACCTTAATTGGGGAGGACGGTGTTGTGGTAATGGCTGGAGTGGAATCATTGGAATGGTATGAAATACATCAAACAGTTGTTTGATGCCATTCCATTTGCGCCGTTCCAGCCATTATTATGAGCCGTCCTCCCCTCAGCAGCCTCCACTGCTGCACTACAATGACTAGATTTCAGGATAGTGTAATAACTGTTTTGGAGGGGACAAGTTTTGGAAGAAAGTACATGTGTGTACTAATCCAGTGCTATTCCTAACACACCTCTATCCTCTTATGTCCCCAGTTCTTCCCTCACAGTTCGTCAGGCCAGAGCATCTTCGAGAGCCTGCGGGAGTCATCGTCCAACGGCCGTCTCTCCGAGGTACACTTCAGGAACAGCCTCAAACACAACAGCTCCACACAGACAGACATCTTCTGCCCAGACACGCGAGGAGGGGGTAGTAACGTCAACGTCCCAGGAGAGAGGAGGAAGGGCGGGGTGGGTGAACCTGATGAGGGGATGGAGGTGTACGGGGACATCAGGAAGCCGTTCTCCATGGGGTCTCTCCACTCCACCAGCCTCCGGCCGTCCTCTGACCTCGGTCTGGGTCCCCCGGGCCGCTACGGCCCCAGCGCCTTTCAGGAGTGCTGCTCTGGGTCCCCCTACGCCAAGGCCCCCCCACCCCCCATGACCTATGACCCCTCTAATCCCCCCGACTGCATCACCATGGAGACCACCCTGGAGAGGAAGCACAGCGGCGGCACCTGGCCCAAGATGATCGTAGGCGGGATGTCCGTTGCCGTGGATACGACCACAGCGATGACTCCGACCCAGCTGTCCATCTTCAAGTCGCCCAAACAGAGGAAGTCCATCTTCGACCCAGACGCCTTCAAATCACGGCCTGAGACGGCGCCCCAGTCTTCCAAGATGGAGTACCTGTCGCCCAGTCAGCTGGTGGCCCACTCCCCGCAGCCCTCCAAGACGGAGTCTCCCTCCTCTACGGCCACACCCACCCCTCCGACTCCGCCCACCCGCAGCGATTCGTTCAAATTCAAACACAAACAACAGAGCAGCTCTGCCTCCGACTGCACGCTCACCTCCGACGGGGGCAAAGGGGAGGCCGTTGCCATGGTTATGGGGGAGGGCAGTGGGGAACGAGAGAGAGAGCGGGAACGAGAGAGGGACAGGAATGGGAACCACTACTTCCTGGATGGGAAGGTCCTGACATCGAGGAAGTCATGTGACGAGGACATTGGTCGCACCCGGGGGGAGGAGCCTGAGGTGAAGAGGCCCCGCCCTAAATCGGCGCCAGCTCTCAGACGCAGGATGACCCCCCAGTCCATCACCCTACCCTCCTTCCAGGTCAGTTTGATATTAATGTGATACTATCTATAGTGCTTTTCACTAGGGCCGGTCACCAATAGTCTATTCGAAAGGATTCCTCTCCTGTCCTCCATCTACAGTGACTTTAAAGAACTGAACAGGTGAAGGCATCCTCTTAAGTTGCGTGCTCCTTCCTAGCCTATTTTTAACGTCAACTATGTTCAAGTAGAGGAGACAAGGAGAGGATGCCACTTCAGACTATAGAGATGCGTCTTAGGTCTGAAAACACTAAATACAAAGAGAGAAATATAGCTCCAGGCACAGAGGCCAGGGAGGTGTGGTCCCGTCCCAACACTCTGAAACGGGTCCTTTAGTCTCCTCCTCGTCCTGTTTCTGCTCTTGGTCATTGAACTGTGATTGTGGTCCTTCTCCTTATTCTCCCGCTGTTTCTGTTCCTCATCATTAAACCAATTGGTTTCTGTATCTGTCAATCATCAGAGCTACTCCAATGACGATCACTCTCCAGAGCCCAGAGAGATGCTTCGCTCCTCCCCCAACCGCTCCCACAGACACAGTGTGGGCTTCGTCCCCACAGTCTACAACGGTACTCTGCCTGCAAGTGAGTCTCTCTCACTCACTCACTCACTCACTCACACACACACACACACATCAAAAGGAGAAGGGAAAGGGGAATACCTAGTCAGTTGTACAATTGAATGCATTCAACCCAAATGTGACTTCCGCATTTAACCCAACCCCTCTGAATCAGAGAGGTGCGGGGGGGCTGCCTTAATTGACATCTATGTTGGGGGTTAACTACCTTGCTCAAGGGTGGAATGGCAGATTTTTCCACCTTGCCGGCTTGAGAATTCGAACCAGCTAATTACTGGCCCAACGCTCTTAACCGTTAGGCTACCTGCCGGCCCATCACACACTGTTCTATCCTGAGCCTTTCTAGCCAGTGTGTTCCTCCCATCTAACCGGTGTGGTTGTTGGTGGTGGCGTTGTTGTGATCTCTAACCAGTGTGTGTGTTGTGTTCTGTCAGACTCGGCCCATCGTGGCCTGGCCCCGTGTCCAGCGGTGACTGCTGTGATGAGGAACCCAGTCTACACAGTCCGCAGCCACAGAGTCCACACCAACAACTGTCCCTCTGTCTCCTCCCAGATCTGTCAACACCAGCACAACAACCAACACCCCAGGTAACTACCCCAGACAGAATAACTGCCCTGAAAACCAAGATGTGCCCAGTCATTCTTAACGGGGGCTAATGATTGTTTCGTCTAAATAGTATAGTGACTTGAAAATATGATGCCATTTGCTAAAGTAGGCAAATAATTAGTTGGAAACAACTTGGCCATCATTATGATCAAATTTACTTTAGACAGATGGCAATGTTGCTATTAGTAAGCAATGCTAACGTTATCTAGGTAAAATCCAGTGCTCTCCCCTCAATCTTAGCTAGCTAGCTAACGTTGTACTACATGTAAAGTCAATCTGATGACATTGCAGTGATGACAAAAGGTTTTCCTACTAATTAGTTGCCTCCTTTTTCATCCTGTTTGAGAATGTATTGAGTAGAACGTTCAGTTGTGCACCAGTCCTCAAGATACATTTCATAACAATGGCGTGAATGACGCTAAGTGCGACCCATGAATTATGTAGTGAGAGAGTGTGTCAGTCCACAGCACCAGGGGCGTCTGAGCCTGGACCTGAGCCAGAAGTGTCCAGCAGCAGACTACTCATCATCCTCGTCACGCAGCAGCAGCACCTCCCATGGTACCAACTCACTACCCTCCAGCGCTCGCCTGGGCCTTGGTCAGTCACCCACGCACGCCACCCACGCACGCCACACACCCACGCATACCACACACACACACACACACACACACACACACACACACACACAAAATACTCATATTATGCATGTTTGCGCGCACACACACACTGATGAACTTTTCCATTCCATCAGGTTGGTCCAGTAAGGTCCAGTACCGGACAGAGAGGATAAAGGTCCCCTCCACGCCCCGCTACCCTCGATCCATGCTGGGCTCTGACAGAGGTACCTACATGGATAGAGCAATGAATGAATGAACGGATGAATTTACGGATGGATGGATAATTGAACAAACAAATGAATTAACAAATGGCTGGATGGATGAATGAATGTATTAACTTTTTAAGATTCCTATTCCTTGAATACTGTACCTCTCTACCAATATTTTCTGACGCTGGTCCCAAGGGGCCTTTAAAACACCGATTTTTCCACTCAACCAAAGAACTTATTCCAAATCAAACAGCTGACCACCCTCATGTATTCTCGGAGGAGAATGTGGCAGCCCTGTTAGCAGCTCATTTACAGGTGCTGCGCTGTCATTTACTGCTGAAAGAGGTGGGACCCAAACAGTCATAACACTAAACACAGGGAAACACTTGCTTAATCATATAGATTTGATGTCCCTGGCAGTTAAAGCTGATGGTGAACATGCTTGTGTCAGGATATTTACAACCTGATTACCTCTCTGAGAAATGACGCTGTAACTGTGGACCAATTCTCTCCCTTTCCCACTCTCTCCCTCTCGCTCTACTACCATGTTTTAACTGTTGTGAGTATTTGAATTGTTTTTGCTATGGTTGTAAGAATGACAAACACATTTTCCTTTCGGGATTAATAAAGTACATTCTTATCTCATCTCACATCTCATTTTAAGTCTCTTCCCCTCTCTTCTCCCTCCCTCTCCCCGGCCCCTCGCCTTCAGGCTCCCTGTCCCATTCAGAGTGCAGCAGCCCCAGCCTCATCACTCCACCCCACTCACCTCTCAACCTGGAGACTTCCTCGTTCGCCAGCAGCCAATCACAGAGCTCTATCTCCACCCTGCCTAGAATCTCCGTCAGCCCTGTGCCAATAGGAGAGCGCAGGAAAGACCGGTAGGAAGGAGAAGAGGAGACAAGGGGGGAAAAGGAGTTTGAAAAGAGTTAGGGCTGGAAGGTGTAAAACAGTGTCTGGAGTACCTCTCCGCCCCCAGCAGTTCTATTTATTTACTTGAATTCAGTACTAGCACACACGATTCAATTTGTCAAATAATCACCAAGCCCTTTGTTAGTTGAATCAGGTGTGCAAGTACTGGAATAGGCTGAGGGTAATTGGGGAGAGGTTTGGGAAACACTGCTCTAGAATAATACAAATAGGAAGTGTGTGATGCATTGATTATAGATCAGTTATAATGCTGTTTGTAAATGCAGTATAAAGGTCAGTTGTGTGTTGCTGTCGTTTCTCCTTGTAGCCTGGTCCCAGATCTGTTTGTGCTTTAGCCAACTCCCCTGACTATGCCAGTGGAATGACAATGTTAGTCAGAAGGATTTGCTAAAGCACACACAGAAGGAACCAGGCTAGTTTCCTTGTATTTTTCTGTTATTTATTCTTCTCACAGCAGACCTGTTTGACCTCTGCATAGTTCCTATTTTTCACCACCTCACTGTTTCCTTTTGCTGTCTGCCCTGTCTGTTTTCCTCTCCTCCATCTCCTCCCTCGTTTCCTTTCTTCTATCTGCCGTGTGTATGAATGTCTCCAGGTCTCTGTACCATAACAGGTCTTTTCTGAGGATCCCTCTGGCTGCTAGGCCGAGGTTCTCCTCTCTCAGGAGCCTCAGGTTCGTTGGATCCACCTCAGACACAGATGGTCTTACTGTTAACATGCTTGAGTGTTAGATAGAAATACTGAAATATAGATATAGTCCCTAGCCCCTCCAGAAACAACCCCTACTCCCCACCCTGAGGCACTTGCCTAGTGACTAGGGTCTGGTAGAGAGCCCATCGAGATCTAGTGTAGGCACCTGGAATGTATAAAGCATGCGTTGTGGTATTTCTCACCCCTGAACAGCAGTTAGGCCTGAATCCCACTTTCGAGTCAAATAGGTCTGTGCATGCTAGGTTTACATTAGCTTGCGTCTCACTGAAAAGATCCAGAAAACCTGCTCAACTCTTCCTCTTGAACCGGATTTGATAGATTGATGTGCGCTGTGTCTCAATTGTGTTTGTATGATTGGACTTGTTGAAATGACGTGGCCACTTGTTTCATGTGTAAAGTCTTTCTCACTGAAGCTGCATGCTACTGAACTACCGCGTCCTTTTGCAGATGGCAAGGCATTCTGTGTGTGTTTGGGTCCAATCCTAGTCACTTTGCTGAGTGTGAAGCTACCTCTGAGTCCACCTCACAACCTCTGGATCTTTAGCTTGTCTTCATCTTTTAGCACACTGTCTGTCCCTTTTTATTTCTGTCTGTTGGTCCTTCCTGTGATATGTAATATGCCTCCGTATATGAAATATGTCTCTGTGTTGTGAAAATCAACATGTGCGTTTCATAGCACCGTAGTCCCTATGTAGTGCAGAACTTTTGGCCAGACCCTTTTTTTTGGGAATTGACATGCAGCCCTGATGTTTGTCGTTTATTCTCCTCCCTCCTTCCTTCCCTCCCTCCCTCTCATCAGGCCGTACCTGGAGGAACCTCGGAACGTGATTGTTCACAAAGGGGCGGAGCCTCTGGGCATCTCTATCGTCGGCGGCGAGAACGGTGGCATCTTCGTCTCCAAGGTGACGGGAGGCAGCATCGCCCACCAGGCCGGCCTGGAGTACGGCGACCAGCTCCTCGAGGTAACTTCCTGTTTCATTGCTTCCTGACAGGGTTAAGGATCAAATCTCAGGAGGAAATTGTCAATGTGATTCTGTGATGTAGACTGCAACCAGCACAGTTACTTGCACATCTAGACCACATGTGCTAATTCCCTGTTAATGGAATAAAACATTACATTTAACATTATAGACATTTACAGTACCAGTCAAAAGTTTGGACACACCTACAGGGTTTTTCTTTATTTTTACTATTTTCTACATTGTAGAATAATAGTGAAGACATCACAACTATGAAATAACGAATATGGAATCATGTAGTAACCAGAAAAGTGTTAAAGAAATCAAAATATATTTTATATTTGAGATTCTTCAAAGGAGCCACCCTTTGCCTTGATGACAGCTTTGCACCCTCTTGGCATTCTCTCAACAAGCTTAATGAGGAATGCTTTTCCAACAGTCTTGAAGGAGTTCCCACATATGCTGAGCACTTGTTGGCTGCTTTTCCTTCACTCTGTGGTCCAACTCATCCCATACCATCTCAATTGGGTTGAGGTCGGGTGATTGTGGAGGCCAGGTCATCTGATGCAGCACTCCATCACTCTCCTTCTTGGTCAAATAGCCCTTACACAGCCTGGAGGTGTGTTTTGGGTCATTGTCCTGTTGATAAACAAATGATAGTCCCACTATCGCTGCAGAATGCTGTTGTAGCCATGCTGGTTAAGTGTGCTTTGAATTCTAAATAAATCACCGAAATGTTAACCAGCAATGCACCATCTCACCACCTCCTCCATGCTTCACGGTGGGAAGCACACATGCAGAGATCATCCGTTCACCTACTCTGCGTCTCACAAAGACACGGTGGTTGGAACCAAACATCTCAAATTTGGACTCATCAGACCGAAGGACAGATTTCCACTGGTCTAATGTCCATTGCTTGTGTTTCTTGGCCCAAACAAGTCTCTTCTTCTTATTGGTGTCCTTTAGTAGTGGTTTCTTTGCAGCAATTCGACCATGAAGGCCTGATTCACACAGTCTCCTCTGAACAGTTGATGTTGAGATGTGTCTGTTACTTGAACTCTGTGAATCATTTATTTGGGCTGCAATCTGAGGTGCAGTTAATTGCCGATTTCTGAGGCTGGTAACTCTAATTAACTTATCCTCTGCAGCAGAGGTAACTCTGGGTCTTCCTTTCCTGTGACGGTCCTCATGAGAGCCAGTTTCATCATAGCACTTGATGGTTTTTGCGACTGCACTTGAAGAAACTTTCAAAGTTCTTGACATTTTCCGGATTGACTGACCTTCATGTCTTAAGGTAATGATGGACTGTCATTTCTCTTTGCTTATTTGAGCTGTTCTTGCCATAATATGGACTTGGTCTTTTACCAAATAGGGCTATCTTCTGTATACCAACCCTACCTTGTCACAACACAACTGATTGGCTCAAACGCATTAAGAAGGAAAGAAATTCCACAAATTAACTTTTGAAAGGCACACCTGTTAATTTAAATGCATTCCAGGTGACTACCTCATGAAGCTGGTTGAGCGAATGCCAAGAGTGTGCTAAGCTGTCATCAAGGCAAAGGGTGGCTATTTGAAGAATCTCAAATATAGAATATATTTAGATTTGTTTAACACTTTTTTGGTTACTACATGATTCCATATGTGTTATTTCATAGTTTTGATGTCTTCACTATTATTCTACAATGTAGAAAATAGTAAAAAGAAACTAAAACCCTTGAATGAGTAGATGTGTCTTAACTTTTGATTGGTAGTGTAGCAGACGCTCTTATCCAGAATGATTTAGACACACATTCATGCATGAATATGATCTGTAGAATTGAAGTGCTGTTTATTTTCAGTGAGAATTTTTCAATAACATCTTGACTTTCTCTCCTCCCCTCCCTCTCCTCCCCTCTCCCCCTCTCCTCTCCCTCTCCTCCCCTCTCTCTCCTCTTTCTCTCCTCCCCTCTCCCCCTCCTCTTTCTCTGCTCATCTCTCTCCCTCTCATCTTTCTCTCCTCCCCTCTCTCCCCTCTCCTCTTCCTCTCCTCCTCTCTCTCTCTCCCTCTCCTCTTTCTCTCCTCCCCTCCCCCTCTCCTCTTCCTCTCCTCCCCTCTCCCCCTCTCCTCTTCCTCTCTCCCCCTCTCCTCTTTCTCTCCTCCCCTCTCTCCCCCTCTCCTCTTCCTCTCCTTCCCTTCCTCCAGTATAATGGTATTAACCTGCGTAATGCCACGGAGCAGCAGGCCAGGCTGATCATTGGTCAGCAGTGTGACACCATCACCATTATGGCTCAATACAACCCCCACATGTACCAGCTGGGAAACCCCTCACGATCCAGGTAAACAATGACATTTCTTCCCTGTGGTCAATTTACAGAAATATAAGGGTAATCAAAGATAGAATGTCACTCTTTCATACTTCAAAAGGGGTGTAAAATCTACCTTGGGCCATGACATAGTCATCATTTGGCGAAATATACAGGCCTCATTTGGCACCATTGTATCCTATTTAAATAGATGGATAGATGTTCATTTGTCTAAGGTTTCTCTCTCTCTCTCTCTCTCTCTCTCTCTCTTTCTCTCCCTCTCTTTCTATTTCTCTCTCTCTCTCTCTCTCTTTCTCTCCCTCTCTTTCTATTTCTCTCTCTCTCTCTTTCTCTCCCTCTCTTTCTATTTCACTTTCTCTCGCTCTCTCTTTCTCTCGCTCTCTCTTTCTCTCGCTCTCTGCGTCTGTAGTTCTCGTCTGGAGCCGGTGAGCAGCCAGTCGACGCCCCAGGGCAGTGGAGCCACCACCCCAGACAACCACTCTACTATAGACACTCTGAGTGAACAGGACGAAGGAACCCTCACCCCCTCCTCCAAACAGACCACCCCTACAACTAGTCCTCACAGCTTCAGCAGGTAACACACACCTCTGACTGCTCCAGCCTCTCCAACCTAATGTGGTTTTGTGTATATTGCAGGGGGTACAGCAGAAGATACATTAATGTTTTGTAAAGTATTCTTGTTCTTCCCTCCACCCTCCAGGGTGTCGTCAGAGGGCAGTTGTAAGGTGTGTGAGCCGCGGGTGGTGACGGTGCGCAGGGCCCAGGGGACAGAGCTGGGGCTGGGGCTGTGTGGAGGGAACCTCCGGGGGGTCTATGTAGAGAGTCTGGAGGAGGACAGCCCTGCTAGGGGACCAGAGGGGCTGCAGCCTGGAGACCTCATACTGGAGGTAGGTTATACATAAACCAGCATGTAGGTGGACACACCACACACAAGGTCTATAACAACTTTTTTGAGTGAACATTTTTCACCGTGCAGCATCCCTGCCAAAGCCCATTACCGTTTTCCCTGCCTGTCTTTGTTCCTTCATCGATTTCCCCGCTCCTCTCTTTCTCTCAGTGTACCTACACGGCCAATCTCTCTATACAGAGAGACACAGGCAGCTAACTCGTACTATCCCATTCCTGTCATGCTCCCACTCTGTCCTCCAAGCAGGCCTTGAGCTTTGTCATCAGAACAGAACTCACTGTAGAACTGTTCCCTTTCATCTCCCTGTCCGGTCTCCTCCTCTCTCATCCTCCTCCTAATCAATAGACAGACACTTCAAACAGTCAAGGGGCTTCTGTCCTCTCCTCCTCCTCACTATTCAATAGACAGACATGCAACCAAAACACCACACAGGCTGAAGGAGTCGGTGTTTCATCTCTGGACCAGCCCAGAGCTTTGAAATGAATGTATTGATTGGTCTAGACACTGCCAAAATCTGTCACTCATCTCTCTCACTCTTTCTCTTCTTTTTCTCGCTCTGTATCTCTCACACTCTTGTTCCATCTCTCCCTCTTCTCTCTCTCCTCTCTCTTCTAATTTTTGATGTTTGAATGTTTTTTCCCCATTTGTTTGTGTAATGGATGATGTTGACCCAATAAAGGGGATTATAAATTCCAGTTCTCTCTCTCAGTATGGGTCAGTGAATATGAAGAACAAGACGGTGGAGGAGGTGTATGTAGAGATGCTAAAGCCGGCTGAGACGGTCACTCTCAGAGTTCAACAACGACCGGACGACTTCAACATGGTCAAAGACACACCGGGGGACGGCTTCTATATCAGGTACACACGCAGCCTGTCTCCAAAATGCCTGTTTCATGATGCACCAGTGAAGCCCATGGAGAGGAACTATCTCTTAATCTAAAGCAATTATGTCCCACATCCAGGAGGATCATCCTTAATCTGTTTCACTATAGAGATACTATCTGTCTGTCTGCGTCTATCTGTCTATTTATATATCTGTCTGTCTCTCTGTCTGTGTATATACAGTACCAGTCAAAAGTTTGGACATCTACTCATTCAAGGGTTTTCTTTATTTCTACTATTTTCTACATTGTAGAATAATAGTGAAGACATCAAAACTATGAAATAACACATATGGAATCATGTAGTAACCAAAAAAGTGTTAAACAAATAAAAATGTTTTATATTTGAGATTCTTCAAAGTTGCCACCCTTTGCCTTGATGACAGCTTTGCACACTCTCAACCAGCTTCATGAAGTAGTCACCTGGAATGCATTTCAATTAACAGCCAGCTACCATCTAGTGGCACTACACAACCAGCTACCATCTAGCCCCACTACACAGCCAGCTACCATCTAGCCCCACTACACAACCAGCTACCATCTAGCCCCACTACACAGCCAGCTACCATCTAGCCCCACTACACAGCCAGCTACCATCTAGCCCCACTACACAGCCAGCTACCATCTAGCTCAGGGTTCTTCAATTCCGGTCCTGGAGGGCCGAAACACCTCTGTTTTTCATCCTCTCCTTCTAATCAGGGGCTAATTCAGACCTGGGACACCAGGTGAGTGCAATTAACTACCAGGTAGAAATAAAAAACAGAAGTGTTTCGGCCCTCCAGGACCGGAATTGAAGAACCCTGATCTAGCCCCACTACACAGCCAGCTACCATCTAGCCCCACTACACAGCCAGCTACCATCTAGCCCCACTACACAACCAGCTACCATCTAGCCCCACTACACAGCCAGCTACCATCTAGCCCCACTACACAGCCAGCTACCATCTAGCCCCACTACACAGCCAGCTACCATCTAGCCCCACTACACAGCCAGCTACCATCTAGCCCCACTACACAGCCAGCTACCATCTAGCCCCATTACACAACCAGCTACCATCTAGCCCCACTACACAACCAGCTACCATCTAGCCCCACTACACAGCCAGCTACCATCTAGCCCCACTACACAACCAGCTACCATCTAGCCCCACTACACAGCCAGCTACCATCTAGCCCCACTACACAACCAGCTACCATCTAGCCCCACTACACAGCCAGCTACCATCTAGCCCCACTACACAGCCAGCTACCATCTAGCCCCACTACACACCAGCTACCATCTAGCCCCACTACACAGCCAGCTACCATCTAGCCCCACTACACAACCAGCTACCATCTAGCCCCACTACACAACCAGCTACCATCTAGCCCCACTACACAACCAGCTACCATCTAGCCCCACTACACAACCAGCTACCATCTAGCCCCACTACACAGCCAGCTACCATCTAGCCCCACTACACAGCCAGCTACCATCTAGCCCCATTACACAACCAGCTACCATCTAGCCCCACTACACAGCCAGCTACCATCTAGCCCCACTACACAGCCAGCTACCATCTAGCCCCACTACACAGCCAGCTACCATCTAGCCCCACTACACAACCAGCTACCATCTAGCCCCACTACACAACCAGCTACCATCTAGCCCCATTACACAGCCAGCTACCATCTAGCCCCACTACACAACCAGCTACCATCTAGCCCCATTACACAGCCAGCTACCATCTAGCCCCACTACACAGCCAGCTACCATCTAGCCCCACTACACAACCAGCTACCATCTAGCCCCATTACACAAAGAGTACATTTCTCCTTCTCCTCCAGGCATTGTGAACAAACTGAGCAATCTCACGCCCTGTCTGAAACAAAATTCAAGCCTCTGCTCAGCCTGTAACCAGAATACCCCAGAGTTATCACCAACATGTCTCAGATCGTCATACAGAGGGTAATAAAACACTAAATGGAGTTTGTTTTTGATTTCCCCAAGATCACACAGTAGGCAAATTCTGTCCTCTTCAGGCGCTCTGTTAACTATAGCCAGAGGGAAGGTGTTGGAACTGAGTTGTGCACAAACTGACTTTTTAGCTTTTTGTTAGTTTCAGACGGACATATGGTTCAGGGGTGTAGTTCTCTTTGATGAGTGTACGTTCTAAGTTTAGGTTTAAACCAAACAACATCAACTGCCCATTTTTCTTTGTGGATCAGAAAAGGCTTGTCCTTGATTTGGTTAATACCACCTGGTCATTTGTTCCTGAATATACTGCAAATTAGTTTCACAAAAAATAATAACAATTATCTAGCCCATGGATAGTTATGAGTAAGGTCCCAGTCAAACACTTTATTTTTTTTTTGGTGATTCTGTGTTCTGGCAAATGTATCTGTCTGTTCCATAGACGTAACATGTCACCTTTTTGCCGAACCACACATGGTTCCCAACCCATATCTCCATAGATGGCCAGGTTTGGAGTCAGTTTGTGCACACCAAGAAAGCAGCGGATTGCTCTGTTCTGAACATTGTTACAATTAGTATCTTACTATAGAGATACAGTCCTGTCTGTCTGTTTGTCTCACACAGCAGGGTTGGTATACCTACAGACAGAAAAACCGAGGAGAATTACCCTCTCCATTGGCGCCTGGCTAAATTCCCCTGTAGAGAGTGTGTGCCTTGTCAGGGTTGGGGCTGTGTGTGTGGGCACTAGGCAGAACCGGGACAGCCCGTAGAATACTGGCTGTAGGGGAGTGTGTGTCGGTCAGTGCTGCTGTTTGTTGTTAGAAGTCTGTAAAAAGCTGACTATGTGTCCCAAATGGCACCCTATTCCCTATATAGTGCACTATTTTGAACCAGGGCCCATTGACAAGTAGTGCACTATATAAGGAATAGAGTGACATTTGGGACGCAGCCTGAGTCTCTGCATGGCAGCAGCTGCCTGCCGCAGTCACTAGTCATACAGATCGGGTCATGATGTCAGCCCCAACCCTGACACGGCCTACACGCGCGCGCACACACACACACACACACACACACACACACACACACACACACACACACACACACACACACACACACACACAAACACAGCCCCAACGCTGAGAAAACGAGCTATGGGGCTCCAACCTTACTGGGCTAGACTTTAAAGGGGAACAGGGACACTTGCGCACTCACATAGGAGCACAGTCACAGTGAACACACACACTAACCCGCTCTCCATTCCACCCATCCTCTCGCTTTCTCCCTCCCCCTCCTTCCGTCTCCCTCCATCTCTCCAGAGCACTTTATGAGCGGACATCGGAGGCAGAGCTGGACCTGAGTTTTCAGAAGGATGACATCCTCTATGTGGATGATACTCTACCAAAGGGCAGCTTCGGCAGCTGGATGGTCTGGCAGCTGGATGAGAACGCACAGCGGATACAGAGAGGACAGATCCCCAGCAAATACATGTAAGACACACACACACACACACACAATCAGACATTCACACACTCATACGCAGACACAAACACACACACGCATAATTAAGTCATTAGCTGCGACCAGTTAGTCCCTCCCCATCATTTGGGATACTTGCGTGTGTCATGAGACTTGTGTAATTATATTGTATGTCTCTGTGTGCCTGTGTCTGTGCAGGATGGACCAGGAGTTTTACCGTAGACACAGTATGACGGAGCTGAAGGACGACAAGGACGGTAAGAGCCTGTCTGCCGCTGCCAGGAGATCCTTCTTCAGGAGGAAACACAAACACAAACGCAGCGGCTCCAAAGACGGCAAGGAACTGGTGGCTCAGGACGCCATTAGCACAGACTCCATACCATTCCTAGAGGGTGAGGACACACACACACACACACAATGGATTAGGGCTGTAGTGTGTAACGCTACCCCACTGACTGATTTGGTTGTGTGTGTGTGTGTGTAACCATGTACAGTACCAGTCAAAAGTTTGGACACACCTACTCATTCAAGGGTTTTTCTTTATTTTTACTATTTTCTACATTGTAGAATAATAGTGAAGACATCAAAACTATGAAATAACACACATGGAATTATGTGTTAAACAAATCAAAATATATTTTAGATTCTTCAAAGTAGCCACCCTTTGCCTTGATGACAGCTTTGCACACTCTTGGCATTCTCTCAACCAGTTCACCTGGAATGCTTTTCCAACAGTCTTGAAGGAGTTCCCACATATGCTGAGCACTTGTTGGCTGCTTTTCCTTCACTCTGTGGTCCAACTCATCCCAAACCATCTCAATTTGGTTGAGGTCGGGTGATTGTGGAGGCCAGGTCATCTGATGCAGCATTCCATCACTCTCGTTCTTGGTCAAATAGCCCTTACACAGCCTGGAGGTGTCTTGGGTCAAAAACAAGTGATAGTCCCACTAAGCCCAAACCAGATGGGATGGCGTATCGCTGCAGAATGCTGGTTAAGTGTGCCTTAAATTCTAAATAAATCACTGACAGTGTCACCAGCAAAGCACCATCACACCTCCTCCTCCATGCTTCACGGTGGGAACCACACAAGCAGAGATCATCCGTTCACCTACTCTACGTCTCACAAAGGCATTGCGGTTCGAACCAAAAATCTCAAATTTGGACTCATCAGACCAAAGGACAGATTTCCACCGGTCTAATGTCCATTGCTCGTGTTTCTTGGCCCAAACAAGTCTCTTCTTCTTATTGGTGTCCTTTAGTAGTGGTTTCTTTGCAGCAATTCGACCATTTTATGCTGAGATGTGTCTGTTACTTGAACTCTGTGAAGCATTTATTTGGGCTGCAATTTCTGAGGCTGGTAACTCTAATGAACTTATCCTCTGCAGCAGAGGTAACTCTGGGTCTTCCTTTCCTGTGGCGGTCCTCATGAGAGCCAGTTTCATCATAGCGCTTGATGGTTTTTGCGACTGCACTTGAGGAAACTTTCAAAGTTCTTGACATTTTCCGTATTGACTGACCTTCATGTCTTAAAGTAATGATGGACTGTCGTTTCTCTTTGCTTATTTGAGCTGTTCTTGCCATAATATGGACTTGGTCTTTTACCAAATAGGGCTATCTTCTGTATACCCCCCTACCTTGTCACAACACAACTAATTGGCTCAAACGCATTAAGAAGGAAAGAAATTCCACAAATTAACTTTTAAGAAGCCACACCTGTTTAATTGAAATGCATTCCAGGTGACTACCTCATGAAGCTGGTTGAGCGATTGCCATGAGTGTGCAAAGCTGTCATCAAGGCAAAGGGTGGCTATTTGAAGAATCTCAAATATAAAATATATTTAGATTTGTTTAACACTTTTTTGGTTACTACATGATTCCATAGTTTTGATGTCTTCACTATTATTGTACAATGTAGAAAATAGTAAAAAATAAAGAAAAACCCTGGGATGAGTGTGTCCAAACATTGACTGGTACTGTATGTATTGTGTGTGTGTCTCCCTCTCAGACTCTGTGAGCCTGGCGTACCAGCGGGTCCAGAAGGTAGAGTGTGTTTCTCCTAGGCCGGTCCTGATCCTCGGCCCACTCTCAGACCCCGTCAAGGACATGCTGGTCAAAGAGTCCCCCAGGAAGTTCTGCAGATGTGTCCTGGGTGAGTTAAGTGCAACATAGTACCCCAATATAATACTAATAATACCCCAAACTGGTTGAGTAGAGAACAGCACTATATATATTATTAATAATACCCCAAACCTGTTGAGTAGAGTACACCATATCCTACCACTTTATAATACTAATAATACCCCAAACTGGTTGAGTAAAACAGCACTAGTACCTATGTCGCTAGCTACACTGAGAGCAATTCACTCAGAACAGACTTTTAAGTCATAGAGATTGCGTCCCAAATGGCACCCAATTCCCTACAGTGCATTCGGAAAGTATTCAGACACCTTGACTTTTTCCACATTTTGTTACGTTACAGCCTTATTCTAAAATGGATGTAAAACATTTTTTTTTTGCTCACCAATCGACACACAATAATACCCCACAATGACAAAACAAATACTTTTTTTTTTTTATGAAAAAAAAATTGAAATATCACATTTACATAAGTATTCAGACCCTTTACTCAGTACTTTGTTGAAGCACCTTTGGCAGCGATTACAGCCTCAAGTCTTCTTGGGTATGACGCTACAAGCTTGGCATACCTGTATTTGGGGAGTTTCTCCCATTTTTCTCTGCAGATCCTCTCCAGCTCTGTCAGGTTGGATGGGGAGCGTCGCTGCACAGCTATTTTCAAGTCTCTCCAGAGATGTTCAATCGGGTTCAAGTCCGGGCTGGTCCACTCAAGGACATTCAGAGACTTGTCCCGAAGCCACTCCTGCGTTCTCTTGGCTGTGTGCTTAGGGTCGTTGTCCTGTTGGAAGGTGAACCTTCGCCCAAGTCTGAGGTCCTGAGCGCTCTGGAGCAGGTTTTCATCAAGGATCTCTCTGTACTTTGCTCTGTTCATCTTTCCCTTGATCCTGACAATTCTCCCTGTTCCTGCCGCTGCAAAACATCCCCACAGCATGATGCTTCCACCCCCATGCTTCACCGTAGGGATGGTGACCATCGGGCTCTTGGTCACCTCCCTGACCAAGACCCTTCTCCCCAGATTGCTCAGTTTGGCTGGGCGGCCAGCTCTAGGAAGAGTCTTGGTGGTTCCAAACTTCTTCCATTTAAGAATGATGGAGGCCACTGTGTTCTTGGGGACCTTCAATGCTGCTGAATGTTTTTGGTACCCTTCTCCAGATCTGTGCCTAGACACAATCCTGTCTCGGAGCTCTACGGACAATTCCTTTGACCTCATGGCTTGGTTTTTGCTCTGACATGCACTGTCAACTGTGGGACCTAATATAGACAGGTGTGTGCCTTTCCAAATCATGTCCAATCAATTGAATTTACCACAGGTGGACTCCAAGTTGTAGAAACAGCTCAAGGATGATCAATGGAAACAGGATGCACCTGAGCTCAATTTCGAGTCTCATAGCAAAGGGTCTGAATACTTATGCAAATAAGGTATTTCTTTTTTATGTTTTGCAAAATAATTGAAAAACCTGTTTTCGCTTTGTCATTATGGGGTATTGTGTGTAGATTGAGGGGGAAAAAATATTTTAATCCATTTTAGAGTAAGGCTGTAACGTAACACAATATGGAAAAAGGGAACGCTCTGAATACTTTCCAAATGCACTGTAGTGCACTACTTTTGACCACAGCCTTATGTGCTCTGTGGATGGGGTTCCATTTCGGACACAGACATTGTCCTGCATGCATTCCAAAAGCAAAGGGTACATAAGAGTATATTATTGACTATTGATGATTACTTGTCATTTATCAAACGGAATGGGGTTGGACTTATAGAAATACAATCATTGAGTATAGCCCTTCTTGTAATGTCTATTTATTTGGTTATACTACTGTGTCGTATTCATTATGATTAGGGCACATTGTAGCAAAATGTTTTCTGACTTCTGTCTGTCTCCATGTGGTTTCCTCAGAGGTGATGAAGGCATCCCAGCAGGCTATAGAGCGCGGAGTCAAAGACTGCCTCTTCATCGACTACAAACGCAGGAGTGGCCATTTTGACGTGACCACTGTGGCCTCCATCAAGGAGATCACAGAGAAGGTACAACGTCAGGGCTGATCTAGGATCAGTTTCTCCTTTTAGATAATAGTGAATAAGATTATATGAACAGGGGGGACCTGATCCTAGATAAACACTTCTACATTGTCAGATCCTCGTCTCTTTTATCAGGTAAGTGTACCCCTTAGTTATTTCAGAATTAAGTTAGATGTGGTCAATTAAAAGCAGATTTAATGTCACTTCAAAAGCAGTCCTCAGGTTTTTAGATTTTCACAATTTACAACGTTCTGTCGTAATAGAAGTCGAGTCTCTTGCATTTAATCCTTTCTGAAAGCGGTAGGAACATGTTGATCCTTTCTGAAAGCGGTAGGAACATGTTGATCCTTTCTGAAAGCGGTAGGAACATGTTGATCCTTTCTGAAAGCGGTAGGAACATGTTGATCCTTTCTGAAAGCGGTAGGATCATGTTGTATCATGTTGATCCTTTCTGAAAGCGGTAGGATCATGTTGTATCATGTTGATCCTTTCTGAAAGCGGTAGGAACATGTTGATCCTTTCTGAAAGCGGTAGGATCATGTTGTATCATGTTGATCCTTTCTGAAAGCAGTAGGATCATGTTGTATCATGTTGATCCTTTCTGAAAGCGGTAGGAACATGTTGATCCTTTCTGAAAGCGGTAGGAACATGTTGATCCTTTCTGAAAGCAGTAGGAACATGTTGATCCTTTCTGAAAGCAGTAGGAACATGTTGATCCTTTCTGAAAGCAGTAGGAACATGTTGATCCTTTCTGAAAGCAGTAGGAACATGTTGAAGGATCCTTTCTGAAAGCAGTAGGAACATGTTGATCCTTTCTGAAAGCAGTAGGATCATGTTGATCCTTTCTGAAAGCAGTAGGATCATGTTGATCCTTTCTGAAAGCAGTAGGATCATGTTGATCCTTTCTGAAAGCAGTAGGATCATGTTGATCCTTTCTGAAAGCAGTAGGATCATGTTGATCCTTTCTGAAAGCAGTAGGATCATGTTGATCCTTTCTGAAAGCGGTAGGATCATGTTGATCCTTTCTGAAAGCGGTAGGATCATGTTGATCCTTTCTGAAAGCGGTAGGATCATGTTGATCCTTTCTGAAAGCGGTAGGAACATGTTGATCCTTTCTGAAAGCGGTAGGAACATGTTGATCCTTTCTGAAAGCGGTAGGAACATGTTGATCCTTTCTGAAAGCAGTAGTAACATGTTGATCCTTTCTGAAAGCGGTAGGATCATGTTGATCCTTTCTGAAAGCAGTAGGATAATGTTGATCCTTTCTGAAAGCGGTAGGATCATGTTGCTTGTCATCCCTGATGTACCTAGAACAGGACTGAACTGAGACGTCCTCTTCTCCCTCTCTAAGGACTGTCACTGTCTGCTAGACATCGCACCCCACGCCATCGAGAGGCTACACAGCGTTCACATCTACCCTATCGTCATCTTCATCCGCTACAAAAACGCCAAGCAGATCAAGTAAGTAGCCAGCCACACCCATCCTCTTCACGGACTTTCAGTGTTATAAACATTCTAGATATTTTAAATGTTATGTTCCATTTTAGGAGTTCTCTTAACTAGACTACTCAGGTCTGAGATGAAATAGTTCCATGGAGATGCATATTTAGTGTGTTTTGTCAATTTCTACTTGGTGGTTGAGTTCACAGAAAGCTTGTGTGTGTGTGTGTGTGTGTGTGTGCGCGATGGTCCCCCGGGTGAGTAACTCATTGGAGAAATGAATGGGATGTAAAGGGATTTAGCAGGACGTTACAGTATAATAACAGCGGTATAACGCTAAGCACAGTCAGAAATCCCCAGGCTCCTTTTCTTCTTGACTACTAACACACACACACACACACACACACACACACACACACACACACACACACACACACACACACACATTGAGAAATCCCCTGGCTGTATCCGGATGTTATTTGATAACTTCCTCTCCTTGACCAGTAAGTAATGAAAAGTTTGGATAGATTTCCTCTGTACCATGAGATTCCCCTGCAGACACACTGCCTTGCTGAATAGCTCTGTGTCTGACCTGTGTGTGGACATGAGTGTTTGAATTATGTGTGTGTCAGTTTATATTAGGAAAATTTGGCACCAGACAACGTGCCCGGGAAGATTATAATTTACCGGACAGTTGAGAAATTTACCGGACATCCGTATGCGTTCAGATCCGACCTGGCGCAGCCAGCGTCATCAATGAATGAGGGATGTTGGCCAAATGAGACACATTTACGTGTCCTTAAAAACAGCCTATGACAAAAACACTATTCCTTGCGTTTCGATTTGTAGCACATGCTAAACTTTGTAACCAATTATTTGTATTTTTTTTTACTTTCCTAAAACAAAAATTGTCCACCTCATGGTTCAATTGTCAGAGATTTGAGCACTAAATGCATCAGGGCATTACATGCATAGGCTTAAGTGTCCACTGTATGATATTATATATATATATATATATATAGAACAAAAATATAAATGCAACATGCAACAAATTCATTGATTTTCCTGAGTTACAGTTCATATGAGGAAACCAGTCAATTGAAATAAATTCATTAGGCCCTAATCTATGGATTTCACATGACTCGGAATACAGATATGCATCTGTTGGTCACATATACCTTAAATAAAATGGGCCTCACAATGGGCCTCAGGATCTGGGCATGGTATTTTTGTGCATTCAAATTGCCATCGATAAAATGCAATTGTGTTAATTGTCCGTAGCTTGCCCGTACAATAACCCCACCGCCACCATGGGGCACTCTGTTCACAACGTTGACATCAGCAAACCGCTTGCCCATACGACGCCATACACGTGGTCTGCGGTTGTGAGGCCGGTTGGATGTACTGACAAATTCTCTAAAACGATGATGGAGTCGGCTTATGGTAGAGAAATGAACATTCAATTCTCTGGCAACAGCTCTGGTGGACATTCCTGCAGTCAGCATGCATATTCTACGCTCCCTCAAAATTTGAGACATCTGTGGCGTTGTGTGACAAAACTGCACATTTTAGTGGCCTTTTATTGTCCCCTGCACAAGGTGCACCTGTGTAAAGATCATGCTGTTTGATATGCCACACCTGTCAGGTGGATGGATTATCTTCGCAAAGGAGAAATGCTCACTAACAGGGATGTAAACAAATTTGTGCACAACATTTGAGAAATAAGCTTTTTGTGCGTATGGAACATTTCTGGGATCTTTTTATTTCAGCTCATGAAACATGAGACCAACACTTTACATGTTGCATTTATATTATTGTTGTGTGTGTGTGTGTGTGTGTGTGTGTGTGTGTGTGTGTGTGTGTGTGTGTGTGTGTGTGTGTGTGTGTGTGTGTGTGTGTGTGTGTGTGTGTGTGTGTGTGTGCGCGCACAGTGAGGGGAAAAAAGTATTTGATCCCCTGCTGATTTTGTACGTTTGCCCACTGACAAAGAAATGATCAATAATTTTAATGCTAGGTTTATTTGAACAGTGAGAGACAGAATAACAACAAAAAAATCCAGAAAAACGCATGTAAAAAATGTTATAAATTGATTTGCATTTTAATGAGGGAAATAAGTATTTGACCCCCTCTCAATCAGAAAGATTTCTGGCTCCCAGGTGTCTTTTATACAGGTAACGAGCTGAGATTAGGAGCACACTCTTAAAGGGAGTGCTCCTAATCTCAGTTTGTTACCTGTATAAAAGACACCTGTCCACAGAAGCAATCAATCAATCAGATTTCAAACTCTCCACCATGGCCAAGGCCAAAGAGCTCTCCAAGGATGTCAGGGACAAGATTGTAGACCTACACAAGGCTGGAATGGGCTACAAAACCATCGCCAAGCAGCTTGGTGAGAAGGTGACAACAGTTGGTGCGATTATTCGCAAATGGAAGAAACACAAAAGACCTGTCAATCTCCCTCGGCCTGGGGCTCCATGCAAGATCTCACCTCGTGGAGTTGCAATGATCATGAGAACGGTGAAGAATCAGCCCAGAACTACACGGGAGGATCTTGTCAATGATCTCAAAGCAGCTGGGACCATAGTCACCAAGAAAACAATTGGTAACACACTACGCCGTGAAGGACTGAAATCCTGCAGCGCCCGCAAGGTCCCCCTGCTCAAGAAAGCACATATACAGGGCCGTCTGAAGTTTGCCAATGAACATCTGAATGATTCAGAGGAGAACTGGGTGAAAGTGTTGTGGTCAGATGAGACCAAAATGGAGCTCTTTGGCCTCAACTCGCCGTGTTTGGAGGAGGAGGAATGCTGCCTATGACCTCAAGAATACCATGCCCACCGTCAAACATGGAGGTGTAAACATTAAGCTTTGGGGGTGTTTTTCTGCTAAGGGGACAGGACAACTTTATCGCATCAAAGGGACGATGGACGGGGCCATGTACCGTCAAATCTTGGGTGAGAACCTCCTTCCCTCAGCCAGGGCATTGATGGCCAACTACAAGAAACATCTGACCTCTGTGATTGCCAACAAGAGTTTTGCCACCAAGTACTAAGTCATGTTTTGCAGAGGGGTCAAATACTTATTTCCCTCAAATAAAATGCAAATCATTTTATAACATTTTTGACATGCATTTTACTGGATTTTTTTGTTGTTATTCTATCTCTCACTGTTCAAATAAACCTACCATTTAAAATTATAGACTGATCATGTCTTTGTCAGTGGGCAAACGTACAAAATCAGCAAGGGATCAAATACTTTTTTCCCACACTGTATGTATGTATGTATGTATGTATGTACAGTTGAAGTCGGAAGTCACATACACTTAGGTTGGAGTCATTAAAACTCGTTTTTCAACCACTCCACAAATTTCTTGTTAACAAACTATAGTTTTGGCAAGTCGGTTAGGACATCTACTTTGTGCATGACACAAGTAGTTTTTCCAACAATTGTTTACAGACAGATTATTTCACTTATAATTCACTGTATCACAATTCCAGTGGGTCAGAAGTTTACATATACTAAGTTGACTGTGCCTTTAAACAGCTTGGAAAATTCCAGAAAATGATGTCATGGCTTTAGAAGCTTCTGATAGGCTAATTGACATCATTTGAGTCCATTGGAGGTGTACCTGTGGATGTATTTCAAGGCCTACCTTCAAACTCAGTGCCTCTTTGCTTGACATCATGGGAAAATCAAAAGAAATCAGCCAAGACCTCAGAAAAGAAACTGTAGTCCTCCACAAGTCTGGTTCATCCTTGGGAGCAATTTCCAAATGCCTGAAGGTACCACGTTCATCTGTACAAACAATAGTACACAACTATAAACACCATGGGACCACGCAGCCGTCATACCGCTCAGGAAGGAGACGCGTTCTTTCTGCTAGAGATGAACGTACTTTGGTGCAAATCAATCCCAGAACAACCGCAAAAGACCTTGTGAAGATGCTGGAGGAAACAGGTTCAGAAGTATCTATATCCACAGTAAAATGAGTCCTATATCGACATAACCTGAAAGGCCGCACAGCAAAGAAGAAGCCACTGCTCCAAAACCTCCATAAAAAAGCCAGACTACGGTTTGCAACTGCACATGGGGACAAAGATCGTACTATTTGGAGAAATGTCCTCTGGTCTGATGAAACAACAATAGAACTGTTTGGCCATAATGACCATCCAGGGGGCTGCTTGCAAGCCGAAGAACACCATCCCAACCGTGAAGCATGGGGGTGGCAGCATCATGCTGTGGGGGTGCATTGCTGCAGGAGGGACTGGTGCACTTCACATAATAGATGGCATCATGAGGAAGGAAAATTATGTGGATATATTGAAGTAACATCTCAAGACATCAGTCAGGAAGTTAAAGCTTGGTCGCAAATGGGTCTTCCAAATGGACAATGACCCCAAGCATACTTCCAAAGTTGTGGCAAAATGGCTTAAGGACAACAAAGTCAAGGAATTGGAGTGGCCATCACAAAGCCCTGACCTCAACCCTATAGAACATTTGTGGGCAGAACAGAAAAAGCGTGTGCGAGCAAGGAGGCCTACAAACCTGACTCAGTTACACTAGCTCTGTCATGAGGAATGGGCCAAAATTCACCCAACTTATTGTGGGAAGCTTGTGGAAGGCTACCCGACACATTTGACCCAAGTTAAACAATTTAAAGGCAATGCTACCGAATACTAATTGAGTGTATGTAAACTTCTGACCCACTGGGTATGTGATGAAATAAATAAAAGCTGAAATAAATCATTCTCTCTACTATTATTCGGACATTTCACATTCTTAAAATAAAGTGGTGATCCTAACTGACGTAAAACAGGGAATTTTTACTAGGATTAAATGTCAGGAATTGTGAAAAACTGAGTTTAAATGTTTTTGGCTAATGTGTATGTAAACTTCCGACTTCAACTGTATGTACAGTGAGGGGAAAAAAGTATTTGATCCCCTGCTGATTTTGTACGTTTGCCCACAGATAAAGGCATGATCAGTCTATCATTTTAATGGTAGGTTTATTTGAACAGTGAGAGACAGAATAACAACAAAAAAATCCAGAAAAACACATGTCAAAAATGTTAGAAATTGATTTGCATTTTAATGAGGGGAAATAATTATTTGACCCCTCTGCAAAACATGACTTAGTACTTGGTGGCAAAACCCTTGTTGGCAATCAGAGGTCAGACGTTTCTTGTAGTTGGCCACCAGGTTTGCACACATCTCAGGAGGGATTTTGTCCCACTCCTCTTTGCAGATCTTCTCCAAGTCATTAAGGTTTCGAGGCTGACGTTTGGCAACTCAAACCTTCAGCTCCCTCCACAGATCTTCTATGGGATTAAGGTCTGGAGACTGGCTAGGCCACTCCAGGACCTTAATGTGCTTCTTCTTGAGCCACTCTCTTGTTGCCTTGGCCGTGTGTTTTGGGTCATTGTCATGCTGGAATACCCATCCACGACCCATTTTCAATGCCCTGGCTGAGGGAAGGAGGTTCTCACCCAAGATTGGACGGTACATGGCCCCGTCCATCGTCTCTTTGATGCGGTGAAGTTGTCCTGTCCCCTTAGCAGAAAAACACCCCCAAAGCATAATGTTTCCACCTCCGTGTTTGACGGTGGGGATTGTGTTCTTGGGGTCATAGGCAGCATTCCTCCTCCTCCAAACACGGCGAGTTGAGTTGATGCCAAAGAGCTCAATTTTGGTCTCATCTGACCACAACACTTTCACCCAGTTCTCCTCTGAATCATTCAGATGTTCATTGGCAAACTTCAGACGGCCCTGTATATGTGCTTTCTTGAGCAGGGGGACCTTGCGGGCGCTGCAGGATTTCAGTCCTTCACGGCGTAGTGTGTTACCAATTATTTTCTTGGTGACTATGGTCCCAGCTGCCTTGAGATCATTGAGAAGATCCTCCCGTGTAGTTCTGGGCTGATTCCTCACCGTTCTCATGATCATTGTAACTCCACGAGGTGAGATCTTGCATGGAGCCCCAGGCTGAGGGAGATTGACAGTTATTTTGTGTTTCTTCCATTTGCGAATAATCGCACCAACTGTTGTCACCTTCTTGTCACCAAGCTGCTTGGCGATGGTCTTGTAGCCCAATCCAGCATTGTGTAGGTCTACAATCTTGTCCCTGACATCCTTGGAGAGCTCTTTGGCCTTGGCCATGGTGGAGAGTTTGGAATCTGATTGATTGATTGATTGCTTCTGTGGACCGGTGTCTTTTTATACAGGTAACAAGCTGAGATTAGGAGCACTCCCTTTAAGAGTGTGCTCTTAATCTCAGCTCGTTACCTGTATATAAGACACCTGGGAGCCAGAAATCTTTCTGATTGAGAGGGGGTCATACTTATTTCCCTCATTTAAAATGCAGCTCAATTTATAACATTTTTGACATGCGTTTTTCTGGATTTTTTTGTTGTTATTCTGTCTCTCACTGTTCAAATAAACCTACCATACAAATTATAGACTGATCATTTCTTTGTCAGTGGGCAAACGTACAAAATCAGCAGAGGATCAAATACGTTTTTCCCTCACTGTGTGTGTGTGTGTCAAAAGTTCATTCTTTATTTTTACTATTTTCTACATTGTAGAATAATAGTAAAGACATCAAAACTATGGAATCATGTAGTAAACAAAAAAGTGTTAAACAAATCAAAATATATTTTATATTTGAGATTCTTCATAGTAGCCACCCTTTGTAGCCAACCTGGCCAACCTGGCACCATCCCTAAGGTGAAGCGTGGTGGTGACAGCATCATGCTGTGGGGATGTTTTTCAGCGGCAGGGACTGGGAGATCAGTCAGGATCGAGGGAAAGATGAACAGAGCAAAGTATAGAAAGATCCTTGATGGAAACCTGCTCCACAGTGCTCAGGACCTCAGACTGGGGCGAAGGTTCACCTTCCAACAGGACAACGACACTAAGCACACAGCCAAGACAATGCAGGAGTGGCTTCGGGACAAGTCTCTGAATGTCCTTGAGTGGCCCAGCCAGAGAGAAACTCCCCAAATACAGGTGTGCCAAGCTAGTAGCGTCATACCGAAGAAGACTCGAGGCTGTAATCGCTGCCAAAGGTGCTTCAACAAAGTACTGAGTAAACTGAAACTTATGTAAATGTAATATTTAATATTTGCATAAAAATCAATCTGTTTTTGCTTTGTCGTTATGGGGTATTGTGTGTAGATTGAGGGGGGAAAATAACAATTTAATCAATTTCAGAATAAGGCTGTAATGTAACAAAATGTGGAAAAAGTGAAGGGGTCTGAATACTTACAGAATGCACTGTATATGCGTACAGGAGGAGGCTAATTCGTACATTTTATCTCCGAATATTTTGTATAAAGATGAGCATTATATTGTTAGATTATAGGAGTAACTCTGGTAGGCTTGAAACAGTCTTCCTCACCTCAAGTTCAACTGTTGGAGTCAGTTGGAGCGCCTGGGCGCACTGCCTTCATATCATAGGCCTGCAGTATAATAGTCTAATAACCACACAACTTTCACAAGTTTCTTAACTTAATTAGGGTAATACAAAAAATAAGTTAAGCCATTGTTTATAGGGAAAATACGAGCAGGCTATTATATTGCGGCAAACACAGCATTACAGTTGGAACTTAATTTGGCCAAAGAAAATGGCTCAACAGAATGAAACAAAACACTTGCGGACTGGTTTAAACCTTCACAATATTCTTTGTCCTCTAACTTGTGTTTTACTTCAATGAAAAAGGCCTACATTTCCACAATCAACAGTAGCCTATTTGGAGTTTAGGCTATGATAGACAGACTCCTGGACAATTTGGCCCGCTACAATTTTTTTTATTGGCTAATGGGAAACCTGTGTGTGTGTGTGTGTGTTTTGCTGCTGCAGCAGGATTAACTCGGAGTTTTGCCCACACACACACACACCCTTGCGTAACCCCAAACAGCTGGAGATGCTCTTCACTTTTTTTCTCCCAACTTTTATGTAATATAATATGGTGTGTGGTTATATCACTGGGTCCTACAGTTGGCTAGCAGCTAGCCTGTGTTAGTTAGCCAGAATGTGTTGTCATACTCTAAACCAGGGCTCTCCAACCCTATTCCTGGACAGCTACTGTCCTGTAGGTTTTCAGTCCAACCGTAATTTAGCGCACCTGATTCTAATAATTAGCTGGTTAATATACTGAGTCAGGTTAGTTATAACTGGAGTGGGAGTGAAAACCTACAGGAGGGTAGCTCTCCAGGAACAGGGTTGGAGAGCCCTGCTCTAAATTGACTTATTTTTCATCTTCCAACTTGAGAGAAGATGATTGTCTGTGTTAGTAGAGGGGTCGTTCTTGAATTGCAGTGGCATTTGCATCCATTATTTTAGCAACAATTAAAAACACTTTAAAATGGCGTAGTTACACATCATCCATGTTTTTGTTTATATTGAACTGTTTATCAATGATAAAACATAATGCAAGTCCTTTATAGTGTAAAACTCCTATTTTTATGCATTGTTTAAAGTACTTAGGGCAAGCAAATTGGCTTGTCCCAGGACTGATGAGTAGAGTTGTAGTGACATGTTTTGGGGATTTAGATATCTATTATTTAGAATTCTAGAATGTAACAAAAGTATTTTTAATGCATTTTACTCTGCTAACTTCTGGAAGAAGATGTTTGTCTATCTTAGGGCTCCCCCAATCGATTGGTTGAAATTTCAAAAATGTGTATTTTTCCATATATAGACACATCTTATGTGTTTTAATTGCTCCTGTAAGTCGTTCTGGATAAGAGCGTCTGCTAAATGACAAAAAATGTAAATGTAAAATTTTAATCAAATCAACTATATATATGCACTGAGTTTGTCTGATGCTTTAAGCGCACTGTTTGATGAAATAATTAAGACACAGATGACTAGAGGGAGTCCGACCAGCAATTGATTTGATTGTGCCGGGCCGGGCTCAGACTTGCTGCGCTGTGTAAAAAAAAAAAAAAGACTGAGTGACTGTGTGACTAGCACCTGTTGTCTCTCTCTCCTCCCTGCTGCAGCGACCACCAAAGAACATCAACAGTGTTTATCGCACTGTCCGTGTTGCTGAAGCTGCAACATAATTACATAAATTTTTGACTGAAAAGTTCTGTTACCGAAATCCCTCATTTATATAGGAAAAACATTCCCCATTCCCTCAACCATTGCTCTCTTTGTGACACGTATGCACGTAACCATAGGCCTGACCTATAGAATATCATAACATTCATAAATTGGTTATAACAAACTCCGAACACCGTAACACGTGACAGAAAAATTTATGCAATGGCGTGACAAATAAACTCGAAACAGGAGAATGTTTGGTTGCTCAGGAGGGAAAGATGTGTGGAATAAATGTGACTAAAAACAGTCGCATGCATTCGTGAATGCAATTGCTGACGTGGAATGGTTTATTTATTGTTTACGCTAATTATTCAAGGGTCTCTTTGTTTTATTTTATTTAAAACTGAAATGCTTGATTTGCATTTCAAATAATGAATGACTCGTATGATGTGTGATGACACGAATGACTGAATGATTGATACAGTAGCCTATATCCAGTGCCTTCGGAAAGTATTCAGACCCCTTGACTTTTTCCACATTTTGTTATGTTACAACCTTATTCTAAAATGGACTAAATAAAAATAAAAATCCTCAGCAATCCACACACAATACCCCATAATGACAAAGCGCAAATTTTGCGCATTTATTACAAATAAAAAAAACTGAGATACCTTATTTACATAAGTATTCAGACCCTTTGCTATGAGACTCGAAATTGAGCTCAGGTGCATCCTGTTTCCATTGATCATCCTTTAGATGTTTCTACATCTTGATTGGAGTCCATCTGTGGTGAATTCAATTGATTGGATATGATTTGGAAAGGCACACACCTATCTATATAAGGTCCCACAGTTGACAGTGCATGTCAGAGCAAAAACCAACCCATGAGGTCGAAGGAATTGTCCATAGAGCTCCGAGACAGGATTGTGTCGAGGCACAGATCTGGGGAAGGGTACCAAAAAAAAATCTGCATCATTGAAGGTCCCCAAGAACACAGTGGCCTCTGTCATTCTTAAATGGAAGAAGTTTGGAACCACCAAGACTCTTCCTAGAGCTGGCCGCCCAGCCAAACTGAGCAATAGGGGGAGAAGGGTCTTGGTTAGGGAGGTGACCAAGAACCTGATGATCACTCCGACAGAGCTCTAGAATTCCTCTGTGGAGATGGAAGAACCTTCCAGAAGGACAACCATCTCTGCAGCACTCCAACAATCAGGCCTTTATGGTAGAGTGACCAGACGGAAGCCACTCCTCAGTAAAAGACCCATGACAGCCCACGTTTTCTGATGAAACCAAGATTGAACTCTTTGGCCTGAATGCCAAGCGTCACATCTGGAGGAAACCTGGCACCATTCCTACGGTGAAGCATGGTGGTGGCAGCATCATGCTGTGGGGATGTTTTTCAGCGGCAGAGAGAGATCCTTGACGAAAACCTGCTCCAGAGCGCTCAGGACCTCAGACTGGGGAGAAAGTTCACCTTCCAACAGGACAACGACCCTAAGCACACAGCCAAGACAATACAGGAGTGGCTTCGGGACAAGTCTCTGAATGTCCTTGAGTGGCCCAGCCAGAGCCTGGACTTGAACCATATCAAACATCTCTGGAGAGACCTGAAAATAGCTGTGCAGCAACACTCCCCATCCAACCTGACAGAGCTTGAGAGGATCTGCAGAGAAGAATGTGAGAAACTCCCCAAATACAAGTGTGCAAGCTTGTAGCGTCATACCCAAGAAGACTTGAGGCTGTAATCGCTGCCAAAGGTGCTTCAACAAAGTACTGAGTAAAGGGTCTGAATACTTCTGTAAATGTGACATTTCCGTTCTTTTATTTGTAATACATTTGCTAAAATGTCTAAACCTGTTTTTTCTTTGTCATTATGGGGTATTGTGTGTAGATTGAGGGGGAAAAACTATTTAATACATTTTAGAATATGACAAAATGTGGAAATAGTCAAGGGGTTCTGAATACTTTCCGAAGGCACTGTAAGTATTTAAATATAGGTCTAAGTAAGTTACGGTATTAAGACTGAACAGGATGCGCTCTTTGGCCTACAGCTCAATGGTGGTTATACAAGGCTGCTATACTAAGCCTACTAATGATAATGATAATTACTTATTATAATGATGATCATAAACGTAATAACAATAAGGAGATCAAGGAGGAGGGATATTAGGCTATTATTATTATTATTATTATTATTATTATTATTATTATTATTATACATTTTCGGACAATTTGGAACAGTGTAAACAGCACAATAAATAAGTAATACCAGAGGCCGTTCTAACAGAAAATAGTGTAAAGCCTTTATTACAGCATAGCAAAGATTAAACACGGCTGAATTTGTGAAATTGTTTAGCCGACGTGGTTGTGTGAGGCTTGGTGATCACGGAATCAGTAGGCTATTAAACAAACACTCAAACAGGCAACAGAAGCAGGATCTGTCTTATTTCTGTAGATATCTATGGATGATTGATAAAGCCAGGCACATTTAACAGTTAGGCTATTGATTATAGACCTAATTAAGTTGGTTTCCGCACTTTTCTTAGACAATAAGGCAAGGGCTGTTTTCTCATCTCCTCATTCTGCTGCTGCCTCCGCCGCATTGTTCTCAACACCAATATGCTGGTTAACTTTGCTATTATGCACATAGCAACATGGTCTAGGTCTAGGAAAAGGATAAGAGCATCTGCTAAATGACTAGAATGTTAAATGTAAAAGGAACCAATTCAACAGCGTACTGATGTTTCAGAACCGCGGACAGCCACCGCGATCCAATGCGGGAGAAAGCGCAGTTGTTATAAAATAATATTATTTTAATTAGTGTTGCATCATTGTTCTTATGTAATATAACCGTATACAATTTCAGTAGCACGTCTTAGAGTGATGGACTGTGCCGTCCCCACGGCCTCCACAATGGATCAGTCCACTCAGACAGGAGCCAATCAGACAGGTGTCCTGTACACCATGATTTGTATTTATTTTTGCTCCTGCTGGACTAAAGAAATGTCGGTCAACCAACAGCCTATCGACCAAATAATCGACCAGTGAACTAAATGGGGTCAGTCCTAGTCTATCTACAGGTAGCTGCCAAAATAAAGGAAATACTTGAGGGGTTCTAGTGGCTCTATTATGATGGTTTTCCTGGCATGGTTTAGGTCCACTCAACCCCTTAGAGGGCAAACACCAATAGATACACAGCCATTCTGAGTGATCACCTTCAACCTATGGTGAAGCATTTCTATCCTGATGGGAGTGGTCTCTTCCAGCATGACAATGACCCCATCCACAGGGTTCGAGTGGTCACTGAATGGTTTGATGAGCATGAAAACTATGTAAACCATATGCCATGGCCGTCTCAGTCACCAGAGCTCAACCCAATTGAACACTTTCTGGAGCGCCGCCTGAGACAGCGTTTTCCACCACCATCAACAAAACACCAAATTATGGAATTGCTCATGGAAGAATGGTGTCGTATCCCTCCAGTAGAGTTCCAGACACTTGTAGAATCTATGCCAAGGCGCATTGAAGCTGTTCTGGCTCGTGGTGGCCCAACAGCATATTAAGATGCTTTATGTTGGTGTTTCCTTTATTTTGGCAGTTACCTGTCAGTGTTAGTGAGGCTGTGTTAATACTCTATATTGGTTTGTCTGTGTTAGTAGCGAGGCTGTGTGTTAATACTCTATTGGTTTGTCTGTGTTAGTAGTGAGGCTGTTTTTTAATACTCTGCGCTGGTTTCCTCTCCTCAGGGAACAGAAGGATCCAGTGTATCTGCGGGACAAGGTCTCACAAAAACATTCCAAGGAGCAGTTTGAGGTTGCACAGAAGATAGAGCAGGAGTATAGCACATTCTTTACAGGTTGGTATTCAACGCATGTTGCACGGTCTCTGTTTCCCTTTGGCTGTGTGTGTGGCTGTGTGTGTCATCTTCCGTTCCTAGTTAACCCTTCGCTTCCTGTATCTTTCCAGGTATTGTCCAGGGCGGCACTCTGCCCTACATTTGCACTCAGATCATGACTATAGTTGACCAGGAACAGAGTAAGGTCCTGTGGACTCCCCTTGGCTGCCCCTAGAGGGTGGAGGCCACCACTGCACCCTTCTCCCCTAGAGGGTGGAGGCCACCACTGCACCCTTCTCCCCTAGAGGGTGGAGGCCACCACTGCACCCTTCTCCCCTAGCCTAGGGTGAAGGCCACCACTGCACCCTTCTCCCCTAGCCTAGGGTGAAGGCCACCACTGCACCCTTCTCCCCTAGAGGGTGGAGGCCACCACTGCACCCTTCTCCCCTAGAGGGTGGAGGCCACCACTGCACCCTGCTCCCCTAGAGGGTGGAGGCCACCACTGCACCCTGCTCCCCTTGGCTGCACCTAGAGGGTGAAGGCCACCACTGCACCCTGCTCCCCTTGGCTGCCCCTAGAGGATGGAGGCCACCATTGCACCCTGTTGCACTGCGCCTCTACCCTCTCCACTCACAACAAACACTAAAAAACCTTCCACACTATACCTACAGGTACACTACAGTGAGCTTCTACACATGTAAACTATATATTTTTGTTCTATTGTTTTTAGAATGTTGATTTAACCAGAGCCTCCTCTTCTTCTCTGTGTAATCTGTAGCAGGTTGGTAGCACTGACAGGTGGTGTTACACTTCATTTGGTCTTCCCTAAGGGTTTTAGGTTGGTGTTTCTGTAAAGCTGCGTTGTAAGCAGCCGTTTACAGTTAACAAATCAGTCTGAGTATTGTTATTAAATGTTCTGCTGGAATGTGTGTTAAACCCCCCTGACCCAGAATCAGCCCTTAAAGCAAACCTATGTACCAAATGACATCACCCTGTTTTACACACCCTGTTCAATGACTGACAACTAATAATGTGGAATAGTAACTGTGTGTGCGTATGAGTCGTGTGTGTATGAGCGAGAGAGTAATATTATTGATAAATTGTAATGACTTTGTTGGTTGAATTGAAACATGGTCTTTGATATTGGTATGAAGTTGACGCCATATAAACGTTACCTGTAGAACAGATAAACCTCTCCAAGCGATATCTGTCTTATTGGTCTTCTGTCAAAAATGTTTTATCCAAAAGGTGATTTTGGATGGGTCAAATCAATCAATATTTTACAGCTTTCAATCAGACCAAACTTTGATGTGCATCACGTGTGTAACTGTGTGTCAATAAATTCAATTGTGTTTCTATAGCAAAGCAAAAGCAATGAAAATCACACATGGCAGTAGCGAATGATGTCTGGTCTACTCGTTGCGTTTCTATGGTCACTGCACGGGAGTGGACAGTTTACAGGCTTATCGGAAGTGCCTTCCGTTGGAGACAGGCCCCATTCCTTACCATTTCAGATCTGATGGAACAGGATAAGAAGAAGCAATATGGAGGTAGAAGCTCCCCACTGCCCATTGGAAGGCTAGCTGGAGACATCACCATGTTGTTTACACCCATCTGGTACCTTCAGATCTGCAAACACCATAGAGTTAACATTAGCGTTGCAAAATTCCGGGAACTTTCACAAAATTCCCTGGTTTTCCCGAAATCCCACTATAGATCTGCAAACAAACACAAGAGCGTATGACAATAGCAAGGTTGTGAGAGTAGGCCAGACGGCGACCACCTCAGAATGCACTCCAGGGCTAGACAGACCACTGTGTCTCCATCACATTATCTGTCACATATTTAAAGACTATATATGTGTGTGTGTGTGTGTGTGTGTGTACATACCTCACAGGCACTTGAGTACCTCTATGTAGGGCCTATGGACTGTACAGTATGCAGATGAATTATTCTATAGTACATGTATTTTGACTAGGTCTCAGGCCTATGGAAGTTCAGTAGTCATGTCTTAGCAGGTATTAGCATGTTTTTTTTAAACTGTTTTGTTTTTGTTTTTAAATGTACTCACAAACCAGAAAGACACCATGGAGAAAATGTGCAGGGTAAAATCATTCTTAACATTTTTTGTTCTTAATAAAACTGTTTAAATGTTAGTGATTTTTTTCATTGTTATTTAATGTCTTTTTATTTTATTTTATCTAAGAGGCACAAACACATTCTCCTGCATCCTAATGTGCCAAAATCCAGCATGTCAGTTTTATCTTTTTATTTCTGTTTTGCACTTGTTATTCTGTGGACCTTAACAAATAGTTCCTAGGTTTCCCAGTAGACTTTATAAATAAATAGGTACTAATATTATAATTTTTACTGTAACTAATTCACATTTTAAATGTATCACGTCATTTCCTTACATTTCATTGGCCTTTTTGATTCTTTAATAACCTTGATTAGAAAACAACAGACAGATTGCTCCTCCATATTTACATTCTCGATGAAAAAGGGATTTCTTGCACATTTTTTCAAAGAAAAATCGGATCTGAAGTTTGACTATTGGGCTATATGATTAGGCATATTAAGTACAATTGTAATGTACCTTTTTTGGAGTAGATAGAGATATGGTTTAGAATGAGAAGAGGGATACCATGTGACATGGTTGTATTTCTAAGAAGAATGACTAGCTGCCAGGTACTGTTCTGCGCTTTTCTTTATTTTCTTTTTAAAATAATGTGATTGGTATCAAATGTTGAGACATTAACATGAGAATAAAAGTCATTTTCTCTATCACAACTACATGGCTTCTGTGTCAGACTTATTACTGGGGACTTACACTTGGCAAGACTATCAGCGACCTAGTTGCTAGTGACCAGTAATTTTCAATGGAGGAAGACACGAGGAGACACACAGAGACTTAACGGTTGGCGACCAGAGAGCTAGCTACCAGTGTTCAACGTTTCACAAGTTTATGCAAATTTCAACTACGTGACTGCACAACAGCCAATCGGGAGACTGCAGCTCTTGCAAGCAAGCTTTAACATTGGCTAACGACCAAACTGCCGTCATGCTGCATGCTGTTAAGGATACACCCACCTGGGGAGATCTCCACGACTTGATCGCTGATTGTCTCTGCAAGTGGGAGTCCCCAGTTATTCGTGTCTCTCACAATCTCTCCCTGTTCTTGAATGAGTTACAGTTAGCAACCTTGTTTCATTCAGTACTAGGAAATATTAAAATGTAGACCACTTAATACTTTTCAACCATCCCTGTCTGGAAATAGAATATAGTAGATATTGTCCATTTTGCATTGAAAAGGTATCCAACCAGACACCACACACAGTTACCTAAAGGGCAGCTTTGGCCCCTGATGGTCTGGCAGCTGTATGAGAATGCACAGCGGATCCAGAGAGGACAGATCCCCAGCAAATACATGTAAGACCCACACTGCACAGGGGTTTATTTTGATATAAAGCAGATTTTGCTCAGGAAAATGCAGTTATTCACGTTCCAAAATATCTGATGCCCCTAAAATCTGCCGCCCTTGACAGATGCACTATAATGAAATAATTATAATTTAGCTGAAAGCAGCAGAGTAAACGAACATCCATCAATTTTTCTGTGCAGAGAATGAGATAAGGAAGACCGTATCTCTGGATCACCGTAGAGATATGGCCTCGCCTCAGAAATGACAAAGCTCTCTACACATTCCTCTGCATTCAGACCGACATCCCTAACCAAGATGTACTAGTAGAGCAACAATCAACCAGGTTTTTCACTTTCACCCATCCAGTCCTCTGACTCCTCTCCCATCAGTATACAGGATGGGAAGAAAACATGGGAAAGACTGAATGGTAGATGGAGAACAGGGTCATGTTATTTTACTGAATGACTTTGTTCTGGCCAAAGAGTTTGCCAACAATGAAAATGGCTAAATTTCCCCCCCAAATTTAATTCATATGGGATTGTATTCAGTTTGGGGAAATTATTCAATTACAATATTCTCACTACTGATAAACTACAGTATCTTCACTGTCAGTAAATCCAAGAAACGTGGTTTTCTTAGACACATTTCTATACGGTCCAGTACCAGAAATGCACGCTGTGTGATTCCTCATTCCATCAAGTTAGGTAGCCTCTAGCTACACCAGATCTGATTGGTGGATTGGGCTTCCAATGCTCGAGGTCACTTCCTCAAAGCTGTAACTAAGGTCACATGGTCTTCTTCCCATGATGTTCACCGAGATAATTGTCCTCCGGCTCCCTGACCTGCTCATTGGGGCGAGAGATGGCCCCATGACCCACCTACCCATTATACCCTGTCCCTCTTGCCAGGCCCTGGGACCAACCCTCAATTATCTTGCTCCTCCTCCTCCCCAAAGTGTACACTCTTTCACTCCCTATCAAAGATTTGAAAGAATATAATATTATTTACAATGATGTACACAATCAGCTTGGTTGATGTATTAGGAGGAAGTTTCCCACCATATTCCATAGAATAGGAATACTGTTGTTGTTGTCATGGAAAGCTTGGTACCCAAATGGAGACCAGTTTGTCAGATGCGTGTACCAAATACATATTATGAACTGTGTCATTCCTCCTCAGACGTCAACCCTCCCCTAGCCAAGCGTCACCCCTCCTCCTCAACTCTCACCCCTTCCCTGATTGTTTCAACTCAACCCTGCATTAGTAAAGCCTCACCTCTCAAGCTAACTTTGATGAACGTTCAGAAATAATTTAGGATTTTCTGGTTCATTATGAATATAATCACTGTTCCAATAAAGGCAAATCACCATTTGTCATGTTTTCTGCTACGTTAGGTTAGGGCCCCCATGATAGTCAGGGCCCCCCCAGATAGCACATGAACACATCCGTTGAGGGCCCCCCCAGATAGCACATGAACACATCCGTTGAGGGCCCCCCCAGATAGCATATGAACACATCTGTTGAGGGCCCCCCCAGATAGCATATGAACACATCCGTTGAGGGCCCCCCCAGATAGCATATGAACACATCCGTTGAGGGCCCCCCCAGATAGCATATGAACACATCCGTTGAGGGCCCCCCCAGATAGCATATGAACACATCCGTTGAGGGCCCCCTATACATCTTCCTCGTTATGCTCGCTATACCACAGAAGATCGTTAAAGCTGATTTATGACATCTCCATTTAGAATTAAATCAAACCGCTTATAAAGACATACAGTACATCAAAGCTATATTCTGCCAATCGGCTTGTCTCCAACCTTTCACAGCCCATCCCCAAGACTGCAGATTCAGTTAGGACAGCTATTACAGTTGAGGGAATAATCGTTCCTAACACTATAAATCAGCAGCATATAGCTCACACTGTATATCTTCTTTACACATCAGTTAAACTGGATGTGTGTTTACGTTCTAAATCAAAACGGTGTGACCAGGAGATCCTGTGTCATAGTAACTAACACCCTAACTAAGACCAACACACTCACACGCCAATAAATACATGGAGTGTATGAATGAATGAACGAATGCATGACGGAATGGATGAATTAATTAATTAATGAGTGGATAGATTAATGAATAAATGAGTGAGTGAGTGAGTGAGTGAGTGAGTGAGTGAGTGAGTGAGTGAGTGAGTGAGTGAATGAATGAATGAATGAATGAATGAATGAGTGGATGGATGAATGAGTGAGTGGATGGATGGATGAATTAAAGGATACATGAATGACGGAATGGATGGATCACTGAATGAGTGGATTAATTAATTAATAGTTGTTATAAACCATTGATAAAGCATGGATATAGTAATTTTGTTGGCTTAGCTGTCAATATTATGTTATCAAAATCAACATTTATTTGGCATACGCAAAGGATACAGTGGGGTTTATACGGGAATATGACATTGCATTGTATCGTGTTCTATTGAAGTAACAATTGGTTTTATGTTTTCCCACACAGGGCCAACAACCCCCAAAGACTCGGACTTGTCCCTCCTGTCCCACTACCAATCACGTAAAAGGTTCTCCCAGTGCAAAGGGCTTGGTAGGAAACTTTTGTTAATGAAGAATGGCAGACATTATGCTAGTTACGTATTATTAAGTATTTTCCCTTTTCCTGATGAAACTTGAGAAATGAATATACAATTATATAGAGGGTTCTACATGGAACCCAAAGGGTTCTACCTGAAACCAAAAAGGGTTCTACCTGGAACCAAAAAAGGGTTCTCCTATGGGGACAGCCGAAGAACCGTTTTGGAATCCTTTTCCTACAAGTGTACCTCCTCTCTCTCAGGTGAGACCATGGCCAGTATATTACCTACCTCTCTCTCAGGTGAGACCATGGCCAGTATATTACCTACCTCTCTCTCAGGTGAGACCATGGCCAGTATATTACCTACATCCTCTCTCAGGTGAGACCATGGCCAGTATATTACCTACATCCTCTCTCAGGTGAGACCATGGCCAGTATATTACCTACATCCTCTCTCTCAGGTGAGACCATGGCCAGTATATTACCTACATCCTCTCTCTCAGGTGAGACCATGGCCAGTATATTACCTACCTCTCTCTCAGGTGAGACCATGGCCAGTATATTACCTACATCCTCTCTCAGGTGAGACCATGGCCAGTATATTACCTACATCCTCTCTCTCAGGTGAGACCATGGCCAGTATATTACCTACATCCTCTCTCAGGTGAGACCATGGCCAGTATATTACCTACCTCTCTCTCAGGTGAGACCATGGCCAGTATATTACCTACATCCTCTCTCTCAGGTGAGACCATTGCAAGTTATTTTCGGTTTCCACTAGTTACCTCAGCCATTAAGTCAAAATTGGCTATATTGTAAAAATGTACAGATTTTTAGTTGCTTTTTGGTATTCATTTAAAGGTTAGGCATAAGGTTAGCATTGTGGTTAAGGTTATTATGGTTGAGGTTAGGGTTAGGTTTAATGCCTCGTTCATGTGCTAGTTGGAATTCTAACATTTCCGACTTTTGTAACTGGTTATAGTTACAGTGAGGGAAAAAAGTATTTGATCCCCTGCTGATTTTGTACGTTTGCCCATTGACAAAGAATTGATCAGTCTATAATTTTAATGGTAGGTTTATTTGAACAGTGAGAGACAGAATAACAACAAAAAAATCCAGAAAAACGCATGTCAAAAATGTAATAAATTGATTCGCATTTTAATGAGGGAAATAAGTATTTGACCCCCTCTCAATCAGAAAGATTTCTGGCTCCCAGGTGTCTTTTATACAGGTAACGAGCTGAGATTAGGAGCACACTCTTAAAGGGAGTGCTCCTAATCTCAGTTTGTTACCTGTATAAAAGACACCTGTCCACAGAAGCAATCAATCAATCAGATTCCAAACTCTCCACCATGGCCAAGACCAAAGAGCTCTCCAAGGATGTCAGGGACAAGATTGTAGACCTACACAAGGCTGGAATGGGCTACAAAACCATCGCCAAGCAGCTTGATGAGAAGGTGACAACAGTTGGTGCGATTATTCGCAAATGGAAGAAACACAAAATAACTGTCAATCTCCCTCGGCCTGGGGCTCCATGCAAGATCTCACCTCGTGGAGTTGCAATGATCATGAGAACGGTGAGGAATCAGCCCAGAACTACACAGGAGGATCTTGTCAATGATCTCAAGGCAGCTGGGACCATAGTCACTAAGAAAACAATTGGTAACACACTACGCCGTGAAGGACTGAAATCCTGCAGCGCCCGCAAGGTCCCCCTGCTCAAGAAAGCACATATACAGGGCCGTCTGAAGTTTGCCAATGAACATCTGAATGATTCAGAGGCGAACTGGGTGAAAGTGTTGTGGTCAGATGAGACCAAAATGGAGGTCTTTGGCATCAACTCAACTCGCCGTGTTTGGAGGAGGAGGAATGCTGCCTATGACCCCAAGAACACCATCCCCACCGTCAAACATGGGGGTGGAAACATTATGCTTTGGGGGGTGTTTTTCTGCTAAGGGGACAGGACAACTTCACCGCATCAAAGGGACGATGGACGGCGCCATGTACCGTCAAATCTTGGGTGAGAACCTCCTTCCCTCAGCCAGGGCATTGAAAATGGGTCGTGGATGGGTATTCCAGCATGACAATGACCCAAAACACACGGCCAAGGCAACAAAGGAGTGGCTATACAAACGCCTCACACCATGTGGCTGCTGCTTCTCTAACCTGGTGGTCCCTGCACGCACGACCCACGTGGAGTTCCAGGTCTCCGGCAGCCTCTGGAACTGCCGTTCTGTGGCCAACAAGGCAGAGTTCATCTCAGCCTATGCTACCCTCCAGTCCCTCGACTTCTTGGCGCTGACGGAAACATGGATTACCACTGAAAACACTGCTACTCCTACTGCTCTCTCCTCGTCTGACCATGTTTTCTCGCATACCCCGAGAGCATCTGGTCAGCAGGGTGGTGGCACAGGAATCCTCATCTCTCCCAAGTGGACATTCTCTCTTTTTCCCCTGACCCATCTGTCTATCTCCTCATTTGAATTCCATACTGTTACAGTCACTAGCCCATTCAAGCTTAACATCCTTGTCATTTATCGCCCTCCAGGTTCCCTTGGAGAGTTCATCAATGAGCTTGACGCCTTGATAAGTTCCTTTCCTGAGGATGGCTCACCCCTCACAGTTCTGGGGGACTTCAACCTCCCTACGTCTACCTTTGACTCATTTCTCTCTGCCTCCTTCTTTCCACTCCTCTCCTCTTTTGACCTCACCCTCTCACCGTCCCCCCCTACTCACAAGGCAGGCAATACGCTTGACCTCATCTTTACTAGATGCTGTTCTTCTACTAATCTCACTGCAACTCCCCTCCATGTCTCTGACCACTACTTTGTATCCTTTTCTCTCTCGCTCTCCTCCAACACTACTCACTCTGCCCCTACTCAGATGGTAATGCACCGTCGCAACCTTCGCTCTCTCTCTCCCGCTACTCTCTCCTCTTCCATCCTATCATCTCTTCCCTCTGCTCAATCCTTCTCCCTCCAATCTCCTGATTCTGCCTCCTCAACCCTCCTCTCCTCCCTTTCTGCATCCTTTGACTCTCTATGTCCCCTATCCTCCCGGCCGGCTCGGTCCTCCCCTCCTGCTCCGTGGCTTGACGACTCATTGCGAGCTCACAGAAGAGGGCTCCGGGCAGCCGAGCGGAAATGGAGGAAAACTAGACTCCCTGCGGACCTGGCATCTTTTCACTCCCTCCTCTCTACATTTTATTAATCTGTTTCTGCTGCTAAAGCCACTTTCTACCACTCTAAAATCCAAGCATCTGTCTCTAACCCTAGGAAGCTCTTTGCCACCTTCTCCTCCCTGCTGAATCCCCCCCCTCCCCCCTCCCTCTCTGTGGATGACTTCGTCAACCATTTTGAAAAGAATGTTGACGACATCCGATCCTCGTTTGTTAAGTCAATTGACACTGCTGGTCCTGCTCACAATGCCCTACCCTATGCTTTGACTTCTTTCTCCCCTCTCTCTCCAGATGAAATCTTGCGACTTGTGACGGCCGGCCGCCCAACAACCTGCCCGCTTGACCCTATCCCCTCCTCTCTTCTCCAGACCATCTCCGGTGACCTTCTCCCTTACCTCACCTCGCTCATCAACTCATCCTTGACCGCTGGCTATGTCCCTTCCATCTTCAAGAGAGCAAGAGTTGCACCCCAACAACTACAGACCAGTATCCCTTCTTTCTTTTCTCTCCAAAACTCTTGAGCGTGCCGTCTCTAGCCAACTCTCTTGCTATCTCTCTCAGAATGACCTTCTTGATCCAAACCAGTCAGGTTTCAAGACTGGTCATTCAACTGAGACTGCTCTTCTCTGTGTCAAGGAGGCTCTCCGCACTGCTAAAGCTAACTCTCTCTCCTCTGCTCTTGTCCTTCTAGACCTGTCTGCTGCCTTTGATACTGTGAACCATCAGATCCTCCTCTCCACCCTCTCCGAGTTGGGCATCTCCGGCGCGGCTCACTCTTGGATTGTGTCCTACCTGACCGGTTGCTCCTACCAAGTGGCGTGGCGAGAATCTGTCTCCGCACCACGTGCTCTCACCACTGGTGTCCCCCAGGGCTCAGTTCTAGGCCCTCTCCTATTCTCGCTATACACCAAGTCACTTGGCTCTGTCATATCCTCACATGGCCTCTCCTATCATTGCTACGCAGACGACACACAACTAATCTTCTCCTTTCCCCCTTCTGATAACCAGGTGGTGAATCGCATCTCTGCATGTCTGGCAGACATATCAGTGTGGATGACGGATCACCACCTCAAGCTGAACCTCGGCAAGACGGAGCTGCTCTTCCTCCCGGGGAAGGACTGCCCGTTCAATGATCTCGCCATCACGGTTGACAACTCCGTTGTGTCCTCCTCCCAGAGTGCGAAGAGCCATGACATGACCCTGAACAACACCCTGTTGTTCTCCGCTAACATCAAGGCGGTGACCCGATCCTGTAGGTTCATGCTCTACAACATTCGGAGAGTACGACCCTGCCTTACACAGGAAGCGGCACAGGTCCTAATCCAGGCACTTGTCATCTCCCGTCTGGATTACTGCAACTCGCTGTTGGCTGGGCTCCCTGCCTGTGCCATTAAACCCCTACAACTCATCCAGAATGCCGCAGCCCGTCTGGTGTTCAACCTTCCCAAGTTCTCTCACGTCACCCCGCTCCTCCGCACACTCCACTGGCTTCCAGTTGAAGCTCGCATCTGCTACAAGACCATGGTGCTTGCCTACGGAGCTGTGAGGGGAACGGCACCTCTGTACCTTCAGGCTCTGATCAGTCCCTACACCCAAACGAGGGCATTGCGTTCATCCACATCTGGCCTGCTGGCCCCCCTACCTCTGCGGAAGCACAGTTCCCGCTCAGCCCAGTCAAAACTGTTTGCTGCTCTGGCACCCCAATGGTGGAACAAGCTCCCTCACGACGCTAGGACAGCGGAGTCACTCACCACCTTCCGGAGACACTTGAAACCCCACCTCTTTAAGGAATACCTGGGATAGGATAAAGTAATCCTTCTACCCCCCCTTACCCCACACCCAAAAAAATATTATAATAATAATAATAATACATATTGTAAAGTGGTTATCCCACCGGCTATTAGGTGAATGCACCAATTTGTAAGTTGCTCTGGATAAGAGCGTCTGCTAAATGACGTAAATGTAAATGTAAATGTCAAGAAGAACCACATTAAGGTCCTGGAGTGGCCTAGCCAGTCTCCAGACCTTAATCCCATAGAATATCTGTGGAGGGAGCTGAACGTTTGAGTTGCCAAACGTCAGCCTCGAAACCTTAATGACTTGGAGAAGATCTGCAAAGAGGAGTGGGACAAAATCCCTCCTGAGATGTGTGCAAACCTGGTGGCCAACTACAAGAAACGTCTGACCTCTGTGATTGCC